AAATACCGGACTGAACACTTCAAAAGACTTCTAAGTCGTCCGCCACCTAAAACGCGCCTAATAATACCAACAGCGGAAGCAGAACTACCGGTGAACATCAACCCTCCGACGAGAACCGGAAACCTGAATGCAATTAAAATGGGAAAAGCTGGAAAAGCGGCAGGACCAGATGCATTCCCAGCAGAGGCATTGAAAGTAGACCCAGCCACATAAGTGGGCTTGATGACATCACTACTGGAGTCGATGTGGAAAGAGAGCAAATTACCTGAGGATTTGAAGGAGGGATACTTATTCAAACTGCAAAAGGAAGGAGACTTAAGTCAATGTAAAAACTGGCGTGGAATTATGCTCCTGTCCATCCCAACCAAAACACCAAGCCGGATCATCCCAGCGAGAATCATACAAGCCATAGATGCAAAATTTCGACCGAAACAAGCCGGATTCAGGAGAAACAAGTCATGTATTGATCAAATCGCCACTCTACGGATCATCATTGAACAAAGCTTGGAATGGCAGTCACCTCTCTATCTCAACTTCATCGACTTTGAAAAGGCCTTCACTAGACAGCGTCGATAGAGAGGTCATTTGGCAACTACTTCGCTACTACGGGGTCCCATCGACAATTATACATCTCATCCAACAGTTATACGACAACACTGCATACCAAGTAATCCACAACGGGAAACTTACGGAAGCCTTCGAAGTGAGGACGGGATTGAGGCAAGGGTGTCTACTATCGCCAATGATCTTCCTGACTGCAGTAGACTGGATAATTCAGCAGACACTGGGTAATGGGGAAACAGGCATAAAATGGACTCACACAAAACAAGAACTTGGAGGATCTGGACATCGCCGATGATATATGTCTGATCTCCCACGAACTGGAAGATATGCGAGTGAGAAGCAACATGTTTGCACAAGAAGCATCCAGAGAAGATAGGACTTCAGGTGAACATAGAGAAAACAGAGGTGATGAAGATTCCTGACCAACACCAACAACAATAAAAGACAACAATCAGCATAAGCAGGAGAATCTTGAAAGAAGCAACCTCCTTTACTTACTTTGGAATCATGGTTTCAACTACAGGCGGAACTAACGAAGGTATCAAAGCAAGGATCAGGAAAGCAAGACAAGCTTTCATTACTCTCATGTCTGTGTGGAAGTCAACAGCACTCAGGATGCAGGATTTTCAACTCCAATGTGAAGTCGGTGCCACTATAGGGATCAGAGACTTGGCGAGTCATGAAGAGCACCTCAAACAAACTTCAGACCTTCATCAACAGCTGCCTCCGCTCAATATTCAAGATCAGATGGCCATAAAAGATCAGCGACAGGGATCTCTGGGAGCGAATCAACCAGGAATCGATTATGCAACAAATAGGCAGAAAGAAATACAGGTGGATTGGCCATTGGAAACCATCAAGTTATATCTCTTGACAAGCGCTGGAGTGGAACCCGAAAGGGATGCGGCTAGCTGGTTGTCAATGTGAGGGTGACTTGGAGGAGGTCATGTGGGGAGGAGATGAGAGCATGTGGTCGGACCTGGAGCCAGGCGAAAAATTTAGCGGAGAACCGAAGGTAATGGAGTCGCACAGCTGAAGGCCTATGTTTTTCTAGGAATTAAAGGAAATAATAATACAACAATAATGATACGTTCACGTTGAAAGAGGACCTCAACAAATTCTCAGAGTGGTCCAGGGAATGGATGCTCCGGATCAATCTGACAAAATGCGCACCCGTACGCACCGGACAAGCAAGCATCAGCGCCAATGAACTAGAGGGAATAACAGTTCCATCAGTTCAAACTCACTTGGATTTAAGTGTCATAGCTAGCCACAATTTAAAAACTACGGAACACTGTCGCACGATGGCTGCAAGTAGTTTCAGATCCTTATGGGCGATCACCACAGATATTTCCACTTCCCTATACATATCTGTGGTGAGGTCAAGACTGGAAAACTGTATCCAGACAGCCATTCCTGTCCAAAGGGGACTCACATATTCTGGAAAGTGTTCAAAGGAAGGCGACACGTATGGTTCTCGGCATGACTGACTTATCATACGAGGGAGGACTAGACAGTTTAAATCTCTTCTCCCTGTCATACCGCAGGAGAGAGGAGATTTAATCACAATGTTTAAAATTTTCAATAATGACTACGGACCTGACCTACTCTCCATTTCCCTTCCTACCAGGTCACAACACCTCAGAAAACATAGCAAGAGAGTTCAAAAGCCAAAAAGAAATTATAATAATGTTGAATACCGGTTCTCACACTGAGTGATAAACTCTTGGAACCGACTCCAAGAAGAAGTGGTGTCTGCAACCCCAACTGCTTAACTCAAGTAGGATTCAGACAACTACAGAAATTTACTAGAAAATGATTAACATAGGCTCCAAGCCTTCTATCCTCAACCGATAAATCTGAATTCGAATATAAAGAAAATGCCAATAATCAATAACTACCCATCAGAATTTATTCGGAAATGTTTGAAGAACCATGGGAAAGAACATGATTTGTGTTGGAGATGACGAAAATCACAAAATTTATATAGAATTTAAAGCCCTTGTATTATTCTCGTATAAGAAAGAAATGACAGAGACCTGTGTGGAATTCTAAATGATACTGGAATTAGGGTGGCATTCAAACCAACCAACTCTCTCAGAGATACACTTCATCGGTTTAAAGGACCAGATAGATCCAATTAGGAAAAATAACATATCTTACCAAATGCCTTGTAATGACTGTGAGTTCACTTACATAGGTCAGATGAATAGATCAAGGTTGACTAGATTGCTGGAACATAAAATTTGAACTAGACCTAGTATGACTGACCCTGTTTAGTTAAATAACACAAGGATGTCTCAGCCGCTGCATTGTATTCGTTTGCATTTAGTCACAAAAAAGTGGAACATGTAGGGAGTTATAAAATATGATATAGTAAGGTGGAGAGTGAGTTTAATCACTGAGTCTTTTTTGATCGATTTAACACCACACATGTGCAATCGGAATGACGCAATGCTAATGTCCGGGATATGGGTAGTGGTAACACACAAGACGTAAAGTGTACGAATTATATATACATATACATACGGGAAGTTGTGAAGCCATTTGACTCAACTGACACGATTATGAGCAATAGTTTTCTCGTGAAACGTTGTCCAGTTATTGATAATGACGTCATCGATTCGGATTAATTTCACTTCTATACCAAGTCTTCCCATTTATTTAGCAATCAGAACAACCTTTCTTTCCTCGAAAACTGTGCTGATATTCCATGCGCTTAGCTTAATTTCGCTTTCAACTAAAAACGGATTGATTGGCCTCGTGAAACCTCTCACCAACCCTCGTTATTCCATCTCTCCGATTCCACTGAAAAATAATTTTGTTTTTATATATGGCTTTGTCCTTTGAGGTTTCTATATCGATCTGATTTCGTGGATGGCCCCACGCTCAACGTACTATATTTGTCAAACAAAAGACCGGCTGGTGATCTGATTAGCCAGTAATGCAGACGAATTTGCTGGATGGTCTAGAGAAATGAAATTTTCAAATCTAGTAGTTCCATCAGTACGTAAACTCGGAGATTGTGAACTTCACATATATTATTTTCTTCAGATCTATAATCTTTATTGAAGTCGGCCAATGCCCCTGAACTTTTAAAATTATTTAGAAAAAGTCTTCAACTTTATTCAATCACGTAACAGAGATATTGGATATTGAAAATGATGCCGGAAAAAATACTGTTTACGCTACTATGCAAGGTCGTCAGACGTTCCTATCCCTGTATTATTATAGTCTTGGCAAAGTTAAGCTGTCATAGCCAAAAATTCAGTTTCTTTGAACGGCCAATCAGAAATTAAGTGCAAAAAGTTTCGTAATCGATTATGAATGCCCTAAAAAGCATTCCAAATATGATGATACCATAAAATTGTCGCTGATGCGTTGTAGGAATGTCTACCAGTCGCTATACTGATATTTTTCAAGAAGATCACACCATGCGTGACGGATGCAATCATGCAGGTGACTGCTGGTCCTGGTACTTTGTAGTCTATTGATATTTCTGACAATTGTCATAACATTAATGTAATATAACACACGCCTAAATCTCACCATAATCCTCACTTTAACCCTAATCCTACGCTGAAACTTAGAGATGAATTTAAAAAGCCATAACCTCACCTAACAGTAAAGATTCACTGAAAAAGTTACAGGGAATAAGTGGAATAATCTAGCTAGCCTTTCTAAGTTCACAAAGGCAGGTATGATTTGATTTAACATGACCTTTCAAGGCAGTCACTGTATCTACTTGGTTCTTGAAGGTCAACTTTTAAGAGACTATGGCTTTGCCTATGAAAATTTAACTTCACAGTAAATATTTTCAGGATAATGTGAAGTACTCACCATTCGGTGGATACCACCTAATTTATTATGCAATATAAATCATCGTGGGTTTTTCTATCCTTGTTGTTGAAAGAAGAATTATTCTTGAATAGCGTTTCTGTCATTCACAGATATGCGCTACGAAATATCCCATTTTAGCACTGCATTTTGTATTAGTGTTAATCTGTTTCGAGGTTGGACAATAACTTAAAGCGACAACACTGTGATTTATAAAATGAATGGCTTACACCACGTCGCACCCAAAATAAGCTATAGTCCGCTTATTCGATGACTTCTTGAATTCTAAGCAATTGTGAGACTGGTTGGTAGGCACTAAGTAGGTGTGAGCATCAGAGAGCTGTATTAAACCTTTGTTCTCGTAGACAAGCGTCGCAAATCTCCTGTATATATATATAACAGCGTGTTTTATAATCTTTTTAAGTAAACGACTAGTTATAAACAATCTAATTATGTAAAATTCCAGTAATCTCATTTGTGTTTCTATTTCAGAAGTCGGAGCTAAATTTAATGTTGCTTTGTGATACTAATTCTGACGTAACAGTACCACAGTTCATCAGGTAGAACAGTTAGTCTAAGCGATATACGTATTCTGGATTATGGAGCAGAATACAGACGTATTGCCGTATGTGCCGAAAGAAGACAGGACCTGCTGGATTTGTTTAAGTTCTGAAGTAGATTGCGATTCGATCAACTTGTGGAGCAGACCTTGTCGTTGTCGTGGGGCACTTAAGTGGGTTCATCAGCCATGTCTTCAGAGATGGATTAGCGAGCAACAGCACAGCAGAGAAACAGACGCTATTTCTTGTCAAATATGTAACACACCATATGTGATAATTTATCCCAATTGTGGTAGGTTTTTAAAAGTTCTTTATAATGAATTTTGTTTACTAATGCTGTTTTATAACCTGTGGATTGTAAATGAAACCGTTTTCAGTCAGTAGCTGATACCTTGGGAACTCAGTTTCAGTCTTAGACTTAACAATCTTGGGAAAGTTTTCGTATTAATTTACAAAGCCTACATGTTGTGTGAGGATGGATAAATTTACTGAACCTAAACGTCAGTAGGGTATGGGATCACTTACTGAAATCCGGATGTACAGAGTAGTACATCTCAGTTCCAACGGTTGTGCAGTTCACCATACGTAGGCACTGAGAAAGGTATGACAGAAATGAAAATTCCACAGTAAGCAAACTGTTTTTTTGGCATCGTCTCTATTTCTTATACTTTTCACTATGGCTTACTTCAACACAAAGCTTAATCTACTGCTTAACAGTAAATAACAATCTCAGCTAATCAGTCTCACTACTTTTCCCTCTAGACATACATCAGCCACCACTATCTTTTGTTGTTATGTTGTCTGAGGCCGTATTTCATTTTTTTCTGAATAACATCATATGCCAATCCTCACCATATTTTTCAACTAATTCGGGAATGATTCATTAGCACTTACTGGCTAACTGCTAAATTTGTGTTTAGACAGGAAAAGCCAGGAATAATAAACATTCTGTATGATGACAAGCAGAATCAATTCATTCAAAGAGAAAGCTGCGCCTTTGAAAATGTGTATTCTGTTATGAATCACAATAAAGTTGGGTGAATGCTAGAGTATGCATATGGGATTTCATTGGAGGAGTGTATCGTTTTTATCAATTCTTGAACTAATTGTACATGTCATAAAATTAAATACTCAATGTATTTTTCCTCTCCCTTTTAGGGATTTTGTATAGTATTTTACAATATGTTGACCAACTTACTCGTTCTGTATCGTTCATCCTTACTGGTGGAATTATTTTTGGATCATTTTACTGGTCTGCTGTTACTTACGGAGCTGTGACAGTGATGCAGGTTTATGGACATCGACAGGGTTTACAAGCCATGAGACTTACAGATCCCCCTCTATTATTACTTGGATTACCAACTATACCTGTGTGCCTGATTTTAGCTAAAGCGATCCAGTGGGAAACTAGACTCCTTATTTTATGGAGGAATCACATAAGCCGTTTACCTTTTATCCAGCTATTTCGACGCAAAGGTAATTAGTAGACTTATGGTTCCTATTTTTATTTCGTTGCTGTTGTTGTGAAATATTCTACTTTTGTTTTTATTCTGTTGTAAATTATGCCGACTAGCTTTTGAGGTTTTTACTACTTCTAATATTGATTGATCTTTTATGGAACTGGGTGTCAAATAATGGTTGGTTAAATATAAACTGCTTATAGTCTTGAGGATAAATCAGAAAACAAGCATTGGAGTCAAAATTGTAAATGAAATCTTGACCAAAAAAATTCCAAGGAATTTTTGGCCAATGATTTACATCAGTTGTTTCGTTTACACTGTCTTTTACACTTAACATATGCATAGGCTGATTAAACTTCATGGCCCCCTTTATCTTTGTGGAGTTCTTAATAGTTGTATGAAATATTCGGGAACTGTAACGCAGCTGTTCACGTTAAAACAAAGGAAACTGCATGAAAAATTGACGTGTAGAATACTATTGGAGTTAGTGTAACCGATGGTGGTAATTGAGTCTTAGTTACTCTGAATTTTGAACACCGCAATGACCTAATCAAGCTATACTGGCTGAGACTTATGTCTCTTGAGGTTCTACCATGCCAGGCAGGTTGTTTGGATAGCGGTTAAACAAAAAGCAGCTACCCAATCCAACATCATGTCCAATACAAAATTACAAAATTTCATGCCGGATCGGCCGTGGCCCGGATTAACAACGACCGCGCTTCCTGCTGCCGTGTCACAGGGCGGGAGTGATAAATCTGCTACTGAGACACACCAAACAAAAAAGAACGAACAAAAACAGGCCGCGTGTGACCGGCCTCAAGCAGTTGTCCCCTGGGCTCTGCGGTCACGCAACCAACTTCCACGGTGTGGGCAGCCGGGAAGTAACAATCGCCCTCACAATCCGAAATGCACACGAAACCTCTCTATTACTCACTCATCTTTGTCTTCATCTTCATCTCTATCATCTTGCCTTCCTTCCACTGATGCAACTCCTCGACTTGATAGCTCTCCACTTCCTCTCCACTCTGCGTCCACTAAAAACGATGGAAGCCAAAAAACCACCACCGACAGCCTCTTAAAGCCGCGCCACCAATTTCATATAGGAGCTCTTAATGTTAGGACACTTTGCCAAATAGGACAACAAGCATCACTAGCCAAGACCCTGGCATCACGAGCCATTGATGTATGCTGTGTTTCAGAAACACGCATACAAGACCCAAGTGTGGTTATTCACCTAACCCCACCTGGCCAACAGGTTGAATCTGCAAAATTCACCTTGAGGGTGTCAGGAGATGCCACAGCTAGTTCACGAGGATTAGCTGGCGTAGGGATAGCTTTGAGTACTAGGGCAGAAAAGACATTGCTTGACTGGATCCCGGTAGATAGCCGAATGTGTGCTGTCCGCCTGAACGGATCAGTAAGAAGGAGGAAGGACTGCACTACTCGCCGATGCCTTTTCGTAATCTCCGCCTACGCCCCCACTGACTGCAGTTCAGATGAAACGAAGGATGAGTTCTACCAAAAGCTGTCTAGTTTGGTGAGAAAGGCTAAACGCTCAGACATAGTCGTTCTAGCTGGTGACTTTAACGCTCAAGTAGGGAAATTGTGTCAATCTGAGAAGGATGTCGGTGGCACCTATGGAGTTCCGTGCCAGCGAACCGACAACGGTGACCGTCTCCTACAGTTCTGCTCTGATAATCATTTGTTTCTTGTAAGCACTAACTTCAAACACAAGGAGAGACACTGTTTGACTTGGAGACCCCCTTCATCAAACCAACGCTGGACACAAATAGACCACATAGCAATAAGCTATCGTTGGCGTGGGTCGGTAGGAGATTGTCGCTCCTTCTGGAACACGTGCGTAGATACCGACCATGCACTGGTCCGCGCTCGGGTGTGCTTACGACTGAACGGACGTAGGAAACAGCTGGCGGTAAAACCATCACGTCCCCAGCTCGATCAGGAAACTAAATCCGTATTTCAGGAAGAACTAGCTAAACACATATCTGTGTTCGACAGCTGTGCTCACCCTGAAGAAGCTTGGAAAAATATCCAGGCAGCCATAGATACAGCTGTAAAAGCTGTGAATAAGGTAAACCCAAAGGTGAGTAAAAACCACTGGATCTCCACCGCCTCATCCGAACTGATAGATGCTAGAAGACTTATTCCGGCGAGCTCCGAATTCAATGAGGAGCGAAAGCTGCACAAGAGGAAACTTACGAAAAGTCTCCGCAAGGACCGTGAACAGTGGTGGGCGACAAAAGCCAAAGAGATGGAGAAAGCTTTGAGGATAGGCAACACCAGGCAACTCTTTACACTCATCAGGGAAACGGGTGGGAGAAGACAAATCATCAGTGAGACAATCTCGGAAAAAAATGGCACTATAATTAGCTCCAGGATAGACGACTGGATCGTTGGAAAGAGCATTATGAGGAGCAGTTTAATTTGCCCACAGCCACGCTCAACCTTCCGAGCATCCAACACCTCCCTGAATGGGATATAGACACAGGTCCTCCGTCACTAACTGAGGTTACTAAAGCTGTCACCAATCTGAAACTAGGCAAAGCAGCGGGACCTGATGGAATGACTCCAGAGGTATTTAAGTACGGTGGAGACAGCTTACTGTCCGGATTAACTGAGGTACTAGGCAGCGTCTGGGAATCAGAAGAAGTCCCATCGGGTTGGTGTAAGTCACTGATTATCCCCATATACAAGAAGGGAGACAAGTCTTCCTGTGATAATCACAGAGGGATTAGCTTGACTAATATAGTATCTAAAGTCTTAGGCTCAATAATCATGCGTAGACTGAGTGGTGCTCGGGAAGCACAAACACGAGAGAGCCAGGCAGGCTTTAGACCAGGAAGAGGGTGTATTGATCATATCTTCACCCTCCGACAGATTCTAGAACATAGGCATTCCTACCGGCGTCCAACAGTCATTATATTTCTTGACCTAAAGGCAGCATTCGACTCTGTCGATCGGGAAGTTCTCTGGAGATGCTTGGCTGTAAAGGGAATTCCGAGAAAATATATTGCACTGATTAAGGCACTCTATTCGTACTCATACAGCCAGGTGAGGGCTTACGGCGAGCTGTCATCTGAACTGATGACGACCAGTGGTGTCCGTCAAGGATGCCCATTATCTCCTTTTCTATTCAACTTCATCATAGATGTGTTAATGGACTTAACCCTAGGTGACTTCAGCGACTCAGGGATTGACTTGCTACCGGGAATAATCTCGTTGACTTGGAATATGCAGACGATATAGTCCTTCTAGGCGAAGACGCTGACGAAATGCAGAGTCTTCTAAACACCTTGAGCCGCAATCTACGAATGTTTGGCATGCGATTCGCTCCCGCCAAATGCAAGATGATGTTACAGGACTGGACTACATCGACGCCTAGTTTAAAAATAGGAAGTGAAGTGGTAGAGCACGTTGACCGCTTCACTTATTTGGGAAGTACCATCAGCCCCAACGGGCTGATCTCTGACGAAATCTCAGCACGAATACAAGGGGCTCGTTTCGCATTTGTTAGTTTACGCCGACTCTGGCGTAGACGAGATGTTCGACTATCGACCAAAGGGCGGGTGTACTGCTCATCAGTCCGCTCCGTCCTCCTTTATGGTTGTGAGACCTGGCCACTGAGAGTGGAAGACATGAAAAGACTAGCTGTCTTTGATCATAGGTGCCTGCGTTCTATTTCCCGTGTAAAGTGGCATAATAAGGTGAGCAACATGGAGGTTAGGCGTAGAGTTCTAGGTAAACAGGGGAAATCAATCGACGAAGTCGTGAAGCTACAAAGACTGAGATGGTTAGGACATGTGTTACGTATGCCAAGCCATCGCCTCCCTCGACGAGCAATGTTAGCGGATATAGGGTCAGGCTGGAAAAAAGCTAGCGGCGGTCAAACAAAAACTTGGCATCAGTCAATGAAATCCACAACAGTTGGTCTAAGCCACGTAGGAAGGTGTAGACTTCCAGGCTGGGGTCCTCGGGACGGTAAAAATCTATGGTTGGAAACAATTGGTGACATGGCTCAAAATCGTTCTCAGTGGCGCAGATGCATCCACTCCCTGTGACTTATGATCTTCAATGAAACTGTTTTGTATTTCTTTATTACTCCTTTGTCTCACACCTCTGCTCACTGTTTCTATTATGCTTTTCTTGTACTTTCTTCTCTTGCTTCGCGTGCTACACGGAATGTGGCGACTTGAACTTCCGCACATTTGTGCAAAGTTCTATGTCGAAAACAGACAGACAGACAGAATTTTGTTCTGACGTGAATATATGAAAACATGTTGGTTTGCCGCACTTTGTTATGTTCCAATTCTCTTATTGGAAGAGTTTATAAACGCTTTTTTATGTACGAATTACATCGACTGTAACAACATAAATATAATTTTATTCCTACGGTCATGCGCAACTCATTTTTGCAGAGGTTTTGGGCCACTATTGTCACAACTTTGAAGACATCTTGCAATGATCATTAACCTTTGTTTTATGTTGGCTGCAATTCGAATAACTACTTTTTCATTAAAAACAAAAAGATGCTTTTTAGTGACATAGCACTAATTCGTATGGATTACTAAGATTGATGTAAACCATTTGAAAAGGTTTAAAATTTCAGTTGTGGTCACAAGACAAACAGTCAATACCGACAAGCAACTAGCTGAGATGGATTTTACGGAGGACATAATTGGACGATTTAATGCATCCCACAAAGTAACGAAGCAATTCAATATAGGGGAAAATGGTAAATACCTTCATGTGTCTTGTGTCTATGAAATCGAAAATAAACATAGGGGCATGGAATGTCTGCAGCTTGTCTGAAGCTAGCGAGGTTGTTTACATTGCGGAAGAAATTAGGAGATATTATATAGTTATTAGAAATCCGAGAGAGCAGATGGAATGGAATTAAACTCTTCCAGTTGTTAACTGGAGAGTCAGTATTCTACTCTGCTCAGTACGAATGCACTGACTGTTTTGGTTATCGTTATGTATCCAACAGCATAGGTCCTCATACAGTGGAAATCAGTCCCCTTTAGGATCATGAAATGAGGATGGGTTGGACGCACACTAAGGAGACCTTCAAGTGATGACCCGAATGGGAAGGGAGGGTGGTAGGGGGAAAACCATGTGAAGAGGGAATGAGAGCTTTTTGTGGTTGTGTGGAACCAGTCAAAAGTGATGATAAAAATCTGAGTTTTTTTATTTATTTTATTTTTATTTTTGATTACAGCTTGATTCCACATTGTATTTTTCGTACAAGTATGGAATTTTCAGCATGGATATCGGTAGCCCAAATTTTGCAGGCCGACCATAGATATCGGGTGTGCGTCGGCAGAGGATCGAACCTCGGACCATGTGCATGGTCGGCGAGAGTCCTAACCACTGTGCTACCGACACTAAAGCCGTGCGGTCCATTAGAAATGCAACGAATGGATAACAGTAATGATAATAATATAATCCTTAGTAAACGGCGGCCCTATACAACTACTTTTCATCCTAGTATATAATCTCTGAAAGTGAAAATTTGATCTAAACTGTGTACAAACCGTGCATATTGTAGAAGCTTATAAGGTGGCATACCTAATGTGGTCTGATTGACTGGATTTCGACATAGATCTTCGCACAGAAGTGTGGCAGTTCAAGTTGCCATACTTCATGTAGCGCACAAAGGCAGATAAAAGAGAAAAATAGTCTCCAGACATTGATTCTTAGTATCCCAAGCTTTCCTTTTTATGTCTTCCACTTTCAATGGGCATTTCTCACAGCCATAAAAAGAGACAGAATGAATAGCTGAGCAACACGCACGTCCTTCAATCGATAGCCGAATATCACGTATACACCAGAGTTGACGTTAGTTGCTAAATTCCACACAAGCCTTTTGTATCCGCATAGAGATTTTGTCAGCAATCAGTCCATTATGGCTGATGCAACTTCCCGAAATTGTGGTCAGCCCTCTCAACCACTTCACTTCCTGTCTTTAAGTGAGGAGTCGGGGCAATTCAGTCCTGCGTCGTCATCTCACTTGCGTTTGACTGGAGAGAATTGCACGCCAAACATCCTAAGATTTCTGTCCAAGCCTTTCATGAGGCTGCATTTTATCAGCGTCTTCATTTAGGAGAACTGTATTATCCACATAATCTAAGTCAGCAAGGCTGTACTTTGATAAAAAGTCAATACCTAAATAGTTAAAGTCAGTTGGGATCACTTCCTGTACTACATATATAGTGAAATTAAACAGAATTGAAGACACCGGAAATCCCTGACGTATACATCTGGTTGTCGACATGCCAGATGATAATTCCCTCTATGCTATTACACAGCTATGTGAGTCTGAATAGTGCCTTTATTGGTGCAATGTACTTACTCACCTAACGTGTTCAGTCCACTGGAGTCAGTTTTATGACGTGACTTACATACTTGAGTGAATATATAAAACTACTTTTATTGGTACTAAGTTGCTGAAGAATTACTTCCAGATTTATGGATAAGAAAGTAAGATGCATTCAATTTATTTACTACAAAGTACCCTATTATATTTGTAATAATAAAACCTCATAATTTTTCTCCTATCTTCTTTACTATCAAGATCTTCCTACTTGGCAAGTTAATGAGGCTGAAATAGAATTACGCTCAGAAATATCTGATATACCACGTCTTATTTGTAGTGCTTTAGCTCTGCCAACAATATCTACTATTCTTGGGCATCTATTTTTCCAGAGAGTGCAGTCAGCTACTCGTAGAGTTTTCCTGGTAAGAGTAATTGGAATTTTTCAGAATTTTTTTTGACTTGTCGTTTTTGCATAGAAGTTATTTGTGGAGATATGGTACAATGGCCTAAGAATTTCGTTTCCAACCGGTGGATAACGGGTCCCTCCCTACCTACTTCAATTTGGGCAACTGGATAGTATCATCATAAGTGTGTCTCATCCCGGGACATGAGAAGTATTAATATATGTGTAAAACTTGGGCACCGTGGTAGCGAGTAATTCCATATTAGTTTGTTTATTAGATGTATTACACAGTGAAACAGTATTATATACTGGATGACGTTTCGAACAAAATTTATTGTTCATAATCATATCAATTATAATCACACGACTTTGAAACTTGAGTTTTATAGTTCTTTGTCTTCTCCTATTTGTCGTAGGGGTAGTAGAATTTTCCAAGTATCTGGGACAGGTATTGAATCATTCCTAATACACGTATTTGCAGTTGATTCTACCATCCCTACGACAAATAGGAGAGAACAAAGAAAACTGTAAAACTCAAGTTTCAAAGTCGTGTGATTATAATTGATATGATTATGAACGTCATCCAGTAAATAATACTGTTTCACTGTGTAATACATCTAATAAACAAACTAACATGGAATTAAATGAAAAGTATGTTCCACGTAATTAAGTTCAGATAACCAAACAATCATAGAAACTATGTTCAGTCGCAAATACTTTTCTTTGAACTCGCATAACTACAGCATGGATACGTATTCGCCCAGGTAACATTTTTGAGGCTAAACCAGTCAGTTTATACACAATTATTGTTTGTAGCTGCTCAAATTAAATTCACACATGATAGTCTTCAATGTTCGGGCGCAATATGCCTATTTCACATATATTCGTTTAGTATTACATTCCACTGAGTTGGAGTGCGAATCTTCTAGCTTCATGCAGAACATTGTCAAATCTCAGAAAGCGTTTTAGTCTACTTGTGTTCCTTCATGACATAAAATGTAAACCGCTGATCTTGAGTGTTATCTAATATGATCTTTATGAACTGTCACAAATTCATTCTACTTTGTGCATCTAAAATAGGTATGTTTTATGCCTATGCAAGTTAATATGTTTGATGCTTAACCTAGTTTTCTTTGAACTCAAGTACCTAGGACAGACCTATGTACACGATCAAGAGTCACACTTGTTGTGTGTGTAAGGGCTGATGAGACTACCCAGTTACCCAGGATGAAGTAGGCAGTGCGGGATAAGCACCCCAGACTTTTTGGCTGAAGGTCAAGTGCTTGATCCAACGAGCCACGGTTGCACTAGTTGAGTAAATACTGAAAAAAGTGGTCAATGTATTGTTATTTGTTATCTTTACAGGTGAATCTACATACCATATTCGATTTGCATTTTGTTTTCACTTCTTCTTTATGCACATTATGCATTTTTGAAAGTTTTCACCCAATTAGTTCACTTACAAGGCACATTAGGTTGGTAAAGAGTTATATATATATATATATATATATATATATATATTTATATGGTCATATATATATGGTCAAGTTAAACTTTAAGCACCACTAACTACGAATGGATTGCGTCACCACTATTGACGTTGAATGAATTTTATTCGCGTGAGTTGAAGCTTCTACTCAGCTTGACCACAGTCAAATGCTTGCTGTAATACAGTTGCGTTTGCTGATGATTCCAATATTTCTTTGGAACATTTCTTGCCAGAACCCTTCTTTCCTCAACTCAGATTTTGTATTTTAAAGCAGCCTGTGAGAAGTGTAGCTGCTGAAACTGTAACTAGTCTCGTATCAACAGTTCAGTGTTAGCAGCACTGCAGATATATCGTATCCTAGGAAGTGGAGAGGCGTACTTCCTTATTCGGGGGAGTTGTCGTCGTACATGTAGATGAAACTGCCTATTATAGAAAAAATACAACGTGGTCGAGGACGAGCGAATAATATGTAGTTGGTTGATTTATGTGATACCTCTCTGCGGAAAGGATTCATTGAGAGGATAGCAAATAGAAAATCAAGTACTGTAATACCGATCATTACTCGACTGGTGAAACAGTGATCTGTAACACACATATTGGTGAAAAGGTTATAACTCCTTGTTATCCCCTGGATATATATTTTTTAATTACAGCTTGATTCCACGCCGTATTTTCAGAACAAGTATGGAATTTTCAGCATGTGATATCGGTAGCCCGAATTTTGCAGGCCGACCATATATATCAGGTGTGTGTCGGACCATGTGTATGGTCGGCGAGAGTCCTAACCACTGTGCCACCACAGAGTAAACCATTCTAAGGATTTTGTGGATCCCAATACAGGGACCCACACCATTTCTATCGAGGGCTTTTGAAAAAGGTTAAAAAACGAGGTTTAGGACCATTAATGGATCACAAAGCGAAGTCATTTAGATGAATATATGTATAGGATTTGGTGTGACTTTTCCATTGGTACTCGTATGCTGAACTGGGAGATGTTTTCACCACATGTGGGAGAAAGGTATCCTCTGTAACTCTTTTATACAGCTATTATGCATTTTTCTCATAAATATATGTTCTCAGTACCCTAAAATGCCCCCTTCGTGTGATTGATACGTCCAAGGTCATTCGCTGATTGATGGTTAGTAGTACTTAAGGTTTAATTTTTCCATATAAATATAACATTCTAGCAGCGATAAGTTTGTTAACAATAATTGGTCAACATCAGCTTGTCAAGGGGTCGATAATTAACCAAGATAATTAATGCAACAATTAAAGGGTAGCAATATTCACCAAATTTAAACAAGTGGATTCCATAGTGCGTGATTTTGGAAAAATAAGTAAATGAGTGTTCAGATTGAATATGTAGTAAATAGTTAAAGGTGAAGTAGGCAAAATAAGAAGATAAAGCGGCAATAGCTTTTAAATGGATTAAGTGAAGGGGAAGTTATCATTATTTTATATTCATTTAATGGTGTCCTACGTAAGGTAAGTGCTTGCACGAATTTCTTCTGAATGCACAGGTTCGGTTTCTTTAGTAGAATCGCGATGCCTTCGACTGTATGTAGAAGACGAACTCGTGAAGCAAAATTAAGATTATTCGGTATACGTTGCCTTGTTAACATCAACTCTTTATTCAGTACGTACAAACTTTACTAAGATAGAGCTCCAAGTATACCTTGTATTTTGCTTAAATATGCAAGATGACTTTCACATGTCCGACGACGAACACGCCTAATTCAAAGTAACCAGCTCGATAGAAGCAGTTAAATCGGTATATACACATAGAGAAGAAGAAATTACGTAGTTTATCCTTGTTTGTCGAAAGTCAGATTGGAGTTGTTATGAAGAGACGATGTACTTCTGCTGCACTAAATGCTCTTTTTACTGCATCCTTGAGGTGTGTTATTATTTTACCATTAAACTGCAGTTTTAAGGACAAGAGCTTCCTTGGAGTTGTTGCCAAACTAACTTGCCTTAGCGGTAAATTCATATTTTTACTGAGGAACTTCTCTGGATAACTATTTCTATTAAGTGATTCTCGGATAAACTAGAGCTCCTCATTATGATTGCCGTAAGAGGAGATTACTCTAGCTGCATGAACCAAACACTTAACTAAATTGTATTTATATTGTAAAGATACAAAACTCAGAAAATGAGTGTATACTGACCTGTCAATGTAAGTTTTCTGTATTAGTACAGCTGAAGAAATGTGGTGAGTCGCTACGAGATTAAAACTGTTGATTCATAAGGTTTTAAAATCTAGAATACACAAAATAACCGATTAGGTAGTAACATTTAGGCTACCCTAATCGCTTCATGCTAGATACAATGGAGATTTTTAGTTCAGGCGCATAGTGATGTCGAGTAAGACAATGAAAGCTTCGCAACTAAACTACCCAGCTTGAAGAACACAGCTACACCGAAATCATTTCATTTTAACTTCTCTGACGTATAATTACTACGCTACGAATCGATTAATTTCACATTATTTCTGACAGAAGGATAGTTACAACAAATTTATGTCGGAATAACATGACTGCTTATTTTGTTTGTCTTCATCTTCAAGTGAAACAGTAAATCCCAGTCGGATTTCAATTCTTTCCTTGACGAAGTTTAGACCAGTTTGCCTAATGAACATTAGTACTGTTTATTTTAATTTCGCTGAGATTTATACAGCAAGAATTTTCTCCTCGGTATGTCTACTTTTCACTCTTCACTCAATTATTGTAGAACTTTTCGGTCAAATCTTGATCAAATTTCGTGTAAATTATTTTGCACGTTTGAATTAGTGTTGACAGTTTCAAGATTCACGCTAATCATCTTTTTTATCCATTTAAAGAACAAGTAAACTGGGTAGTTTATAAAAAGTGATCGTCTGAATGTCGTAATACCTAGCACTGACTGTGAACCACTATCAGATAGTGAACATCAGTGTATAAATCATGCAGTGAATATCATAGTATAGCAGTTTACTGTAGTTTGTAGCAGTTGAATAAGTAAAACAACGGATTAGATTAATTGATTAAAACTAATTTATCTTGTCGAAGGGAAATTTTAACTCCACTGCATTCATCTTTCTTTTCATGTATTTTTGCATAAAGGGTGGATTAACATATCTTGGAATCAAAGGTTTATTGACTGTCTACTATCGAGAGTTACAATATTTTCGAATATGCTACAGAGAAGTGAAGGACTATACTGAATAATAATAATTATTATTATTACTCATATTTCTTTTTGAGCTATGTCAATTTCACTATATACAGTTTATTTTGTGTACAGACTTGTCAGTTTACAGATACACTCGCACAAATTATCATCAAATGTTCTCTTCGATTCGTTAAAAAAGAAGTAATTGGCAATTTGAATGCTGTTTTGCTTTTAACCCCAAAACTGTGTTGACTGTTAATTCATTGAGACAAATTGCGTAGACAAGCATCAACTTCTATTGATTTGGAAACACTAGTTGAATTCGGATTTTTCTCTCTTTTTTGATACTAAGTATGTTACAAAAAAAGCGAAATTCGTCATATTCTATTATTTCTTGTTGCATACAGAGAGCGCTCATCTTAGATTTCACTGCCTACTCGATGGCAGAGAAGAAGTTGAAGCTTCTTTACAGACGTCATAGATTCAAGATCCAATCTTAGACCAACTGCCCGCCAAAATCTTGTCTTTAAAAACTGAGACCTACGATGGTTCGTTTAGAATGATTGAAAAAGAAAATATATGTAGTCACATCGTTACACTACAGCGGAAAATAAATATTCCACACAAATAATATACTTTGATCATGATAAACGGAAATTGCGGTACTTGTGTAACAGCAGAAGACAAGGGCTGGCAACAGATGGTTTTATTACGAAAATCAACACGTATTTATATATATTTTATGTACATTAATAAGGCCTATGCAAGCAGAAAAAGGCAGTCTTCTGATTGGTTGTTTCACGGAAGTTAAGCAGACAAACACAGTCTTATGATTGGTTGTTTTCGATATTTCTCGGAAAGTAGAGCCATCTATCTGCGAATCATATTTGTCCACGTTTAAGTTTGCTGTGATTGGTTGTTGAAACAGCCTTGTTCATATTTTCTCACGGCCCATATTAGTGACCTAGACATTAACGTAGATTAGTGTCAACCAATCGGCTAGCAGCCTGCGCTCACCACACTTGTGTAATATTCCTACTGGTAATCTATAATCCGTCGGTATATTAGGACATTTGTACATTATTTGTAAGAGAATAATTGTTAATATCGCTTTAGGGAAAATTTCTTCTACGGATTGAGTGAATGTAATTTATGTAAGTGTCAATTTGTCCGTCACATCCTTCTTTGGTGATGCGTATTTATCTACTAGTCATTATAAAGCAGCGAAGATGCTGAATGTATTCCAATTCAAGGAAAATCTCGATCACAGTACTCTGGAAAATTAATACATGATTCAGCAAAGATATTCTTTTTCTACAGATTTACAATTGCTGTTATAAACACTTTTGTCCCATCGAAGTATTTAGTCTGCATTTGTTTACAATACACAGTAACACAAAAATAAAAATAACTTACTGAGACTAGTTAAGATAATAATGAAGACGGAGTTGTGCATTAGCAAGAAGATATCGAACAGAACCTACTAGGATGGGGAATATAAATTATGCCTACACAAATAATATTAAGTCGAAGTATATAATATGTTGAAAAATCGATATTTTGTTTAGTTATTATTTTCCACTTGACGAAATTCACGAAAGGTGTTTTCGCTTATCATACAACAAAGTGCACACATAGTTTGAAGCAGAAAATGCTTCCTACAGAAACTGTTCAGTTGACTTACACAATTCATGTTAAACAATCCCAGTTTACTACGTCCGCAGAATAGCAGTGAAATAAGGCAAGAAAAATTATAAGAAAATGCTTAACAAAAGCTATAAGAGAATAAGGTTTAAACTTAGCCAATAGAGCGGTTATACATCATTCATTTATGGTAACATTTCGTTGTTTATCAGGCAGCAGTATTGATAAATGGTCACCTGACGCATGAATTGTACTAGTTTGTCAGTTGGTGGTGCAGTCAAGTGGTGACTATTTACAAAAATTTTCATTGAACTGATACCAAAATACAGAAAAACTTGTTATCTAGGAGTCATTTTTATAATTACTATGTTATTTACAAACGTATGATCGAGATTATGGACATGTGAAGTATTTGAACGAAAGGAAGATTTGAATGGATGATAATACTTAAGAGCTTGAGATGGTCAGTGAAAGTGGAGAAGTAAATATAAAACTGTATTTCTGTCCTACATGACACTCTCAAGGTCAATGTTGGATTACAAGTCTTTATTGTCATGCAACTTATTATTATTATTATTAATGTTCATTTTCCCAGTAGGTTCATTGTAAAAGATATGAACAGACAACATACTTTGAACTCGTTATAGATCAGGCTTTAAGAATTAAAAATGCCTATTACGGTAGTGAACAAAGATTTTAGGGGAGAAATTGTGATTTTTGTGATGTCATATTTATGGTTGCACTTCTTCAGTTCAGCTGTGCAATCGTATTTAGATGTGGCTTAGAGTAGGTAAAAACAAGAACATTGTATTCTATATGAACTGTGATCAAGATTTGACCACAGTAATTAGGTGTCGAGTGAGAAGTAGGCGGGTATAAAAACCAACATCATGACCAATACAAAATCACAAAATTTCACTCATGCCGGGTATAAAAATTATATATGTCCAAACCAAGTTCACTTTTAACGGTTTGAAAAAATTTGGGCATTGGGTATATGATATTCATTATAGTAAAGGTTTTAGTATTTCCCAATGAATGAAAAACAAAACGATATTGTTTTTACTGACGTTTTGGTATTTAATGCTGATAGCTGCTTTATCAAAGTATTATTAAACCGGAATTTACAAAATCTCAGCATAGATATAACAAGGAGTTAAGGGGTGAGAAAATAGACTTAGGTCGCGTTAAAAGGACATATTGAAAGTCAAAATAACAATGAAGATCACTAAACCAAATAACAGAGGCAATAGTACGTCTGTTTTGATATGAAAACAAAGTTTACTAACTTGATCATCGTTCGTTAGTCTGGGGTCATTTTTCGTTGTCAAGTTGGTCAATTAGTAAAGATAGCAAAACCGAGTCTAGATTTTTTATTTTGATCAGTGTGTAAAATTATAAAAGCAGTATGTGTTTACATAATGAACTTGCATATCACATTCGTGTTGATTTTGTCACTTCATAGGGGAGGGAGGTCTTATAACCAGGTCAGGTTCTGTTTTAGTCCATCATTCTTATTTAGGCAATTTGGATTCCGATTGATATGAAGTGCTTCTGATATTAGACGTTCTTTGTGAATTCTGAAGTTTTCTGGATTATTTCAATATTTTCAAAATCGATTTTGTGGTCTGATTCTATAGCGTGTGGACCTATGGCTGATGATTTTTCAAGTTTTTCTAGTTCAACCGGATTTCTCGGTGGTCGAAGAGATACTCTACGGTGTTCATTTCTTCCGATTTTGATTTATCGAGATGTCTGTCCGATGTAGATCGCATCTCATTCCAAGCATTTTATTTTATAGACACAATCAGATAGAGAATCTTTAGGGATTTGGTCTTTTATATGGACAAGGTTGCTTTGCAGTGTCTGATGTTTTGAAGAAAACTCTAATGTCGAACTGATCGAGTACTTTTCCTGATATCATCTGACGTCTCTGCTCTATATGGTATGACGACTGTTGAGGTCCATGTTTTCGGCCATACTTAATGCCTGTGTTGATTTTGTTGAAGTTCCTTGGGTAGTTGTTTTGGTTGAGAGTTTCAGTAATGTTTGATATTACTTTCTCATCCGTTATCAGAGTGTGCTCGTCTAAGAAGACTTGAAACAACGGAAATCTTTGCGCTGATGGGGTGTGATGATTTGAAGCCTAAATATTTATTGGAGTGGGTTTACTTCCTGAATATGAATATATTAAAATGTCCGTTTTCCCTTCTCTTAACTAGGCAGTCTAAAAATGGTAGTTCACCGACGTCTGATTCTGCTTCTGAAGCAAACTGGATTGTGGGAGATACACAGTTTATTTTCTCCAGGAATGAGCTGTGTAGATCTTGTTTTAGCACTACAAAAGTATCATCCACATATCTTAACCATATTTTAGGAGTGAGTATACTTGAAAAGTTGTTATCTTCGAATCTATTCATGAAAAGGTCAGTGACTATTGGGGAACTGGTGAACCCATAGCAACACCATTAGCCTGTCTATATAAATTCCCTTTAAATGTAAAATAATTACTTTCTGGACAGAATTTCAAGTTCGTAATTATTTCACTGGTGTTCAGTGGACATCTCTGTGATAGCGTTGTATCTGATTCTAGTAGACTGGAAATGATATCAAGACTTTCGGTAATAGGGATACTAGTATATAATGAGTTAATATAATAGCTTACTATAATGTCTTCTTTATCAATTCCTCGGTGTTCTACTTGGGATTTGAAGTCATATATACATATAACTTCGTCATTTTGATTTTGATTAAATTCTGTGATGAAGTTCGGACCAGTTTGCCGAACGACATGTTGGTATTATTTATTTCAATTTCGCTGAGATTCTACAAATATACTTTTTAAGTAGGTTGCATGTTGTGATTTTAATAGGAGGGGAAAATACTGAAGTGCAATAATAATCGGTATGGTGAATACGAATCACAAGTTGATTAAAAGCAGAAATACTTAATATAGTGGACACGAAACACAGTACACATATACGTAAATAATTGATAGGGCTAAATTCTGTCGAAAGATTAAGTACACTGGAAAATAATAAATTGCCAGGGTTAATGCAATAAGCTGGAAAGCAACAGGAATTAACTATGGTTATTCAAACTAAAATATTACAATAAGACACCATAAGGTGAAATAGAATGAACGAACATCAAATACAGAGAACATAGTTTTGTGAACTTCATATTATTTCTGGTGTCAATGAGGAATTTTCTCCTGTTCAGCATTCGGAATCTTGGTTTCATAGTATCAGCATTTTACTAAGATAATACTGTCGATTCATTACCACAATAGCGTTTGATTAAATCAATAAAAAAACTATTTTTACTGCAATTCTAAAATCAACCTATTCATGTTGTTTACTAATGTGAGTGTTATTAAGACTATCCAACATCATATGCACCACTTATAGGTCCACTATGTCCTGTTTACCTAAACTTTTAGGACGTTAGTACACAAAATATGTATGCAATTTCGCTCAAGATTATTTCGCAGCGTGGTCGACCAGAATGTTTAGAGTCGTTAATTATTCTATTTTACGTGTTGTGGACTACGACCATACAGTCACTTATTCAACTTTCGAAGTTACTTGTTACATTAGAGGAAATTTTCCAAAAGGTTTGCAACTGCAGTTGCTTTATTTCAACCTCAACTTGTTATCATACTCTAATATTTTCGATGATAATTGTTAACGCCTATTTTCTCACTTTACTGGATTCGACCTCACAAATTCACATTTCTCCCAGTTAAATAATCATTTTGATTGGATACTGGTAACTAGTGTGATGTGTCTAGTCCTTTCTTTGGTTCAGACTGAATTCTGTCAATCAGGTTCGCAATGTGGCCGCCATTCTAGGTAGCTCGCCATCACGATGCACATTGATTTGACGATATTAGATAGTTGGAGGCAATCGACAGGAAACCTTGGACCTAGGTTTCGTGCTAAGTATGCACTCACCAGCAAAGCGTATCTGCAACCTTGAAGGAACTCATGTCCCTTCTGAGATTCGAACCCGCGTCACTCAGTGCTGCAGCCAGAGACGTTACCACTGAGCTATCTAATATCATCAAATCAATGTGCACCGTGATGGCGAGCCACCTAGAATGGTGGCCACATTGCGAACCTGACTGACAGAACTCAGTCTGCACCAAAGAAAGGACTAGACACATCACACTAGTTACTAGTGTCCAATCAAACTACCCACTACAGTCCTACAGGAGGTCAATAGCGAGCCGGAATAGCTCAGTAGTAACGTCTCTGAATGTTAAACTAGGTGACATGGGTCCGAGTCTCAGAAGGGACATGAGTTCCTTCAAGTTTCCAGATATGCCTTGCTGATGAGTGCCAACTAGCACGAAACCTGGGTCCAAGGTTTCCTGTGGTCGATTGCCTTCAACTATCTAAAAAAATCACTTATTTACTTGTGTTTAGTGTGCCTTGTATTGACCTTTCCTTATCCGTTCTTCTTTCAAAAGATTTGTGATTCGTAATCATCTAAACCGATATTATCGCACCTCTAATTGAAAAATCGGAATACACGTACATGGTTTTATCTATTCTAAATCATATGTGAATATGATTCAGTGACCATGAAAATGAAGTTACAGCAATAAGAATTTCTTCGCTAAAATTTTTGATTTAAACTGACATTTGTCATTCGAATTACAGAAAACAGAAACTCAGCAAAACATAAATGTGTTGTAATTATTTCAACTGAAAAGTCAAATATTGTAAGACGCAATTATACTTTGGTTACTTACACATTCATACCAAGAAAATAGTACGGAGTGTTGAATGAAGTGATAAGATAAGAAAAGATAGCTCTACATCATTGGTATATATATATATATATATATATATATATATATATATATATATATATATATATATATATATATATATATATATATATATATACTATACAAATCTACATCAAAAGTAAGCTGATTTTGGATAATTAAGAAAAAGTACTGTAAATATTGATTGGCAGTGTATTCACTGTTTATTACAAAGTTTTACGTTTTCTTTGGTCTATAATATTTTTAATGTAGTATTCACCAGCTCGATATGATGACCGTACTAACGGTCCACTAGCTGTGTACAAAAATCCCATTTCATTGCCGACTTTTGCCCAATAATCAAATTTATCTGGATGAATATATTCTTTTACCTAAACATAATACATGATAAGTAGAATTATTTAATTTTTTGAACGAAATAATAAATATGGATTCATAATTAGTCTCATTTGAAACATTCACTAAGTTGTTGAGTCAGCTACTCGACAACCACTTGCATTTCCCTGCTATATTTATTAAGTGAATGTGAACGATACTACCTGGTCGCTCAAACTTCAATAAGCAGAACAGGGTGCGAGCCAGTGAACCAGTGGTTGTAATTCGAGCACCTAGACCAATCAACAATATATATATATATATATATATAAAGGGTGTTTAACAAAACAACAAAAGTGAAAACTACACACTATCTACTATAGTGATCAACAATCATACCTTTTCATAAGTGAAGAGTAGTTAACGTAATATTTTGGGATTTTTACTAATAAACCACAGCGGTCTTATTTGTTAAGGAGTGTTCAAAATAAAAACAGTAATTGATGAAAAGGATTAAGTAACTACTGAAAATTTTTTAATATATATACATACAGTAAAATAGTAACAGGACGAACAATCCAGTTGAAATAAATCGTACAGTATCGGTATCCAGCTATTAATGAAGTGGAAATATTATGGACGGTTTTAAGTATAAAATTGGGCTTTGCAGATAGATAGATGTCTTACGTAAGTGCTGAAAGCCGAAGGGACTAGGTCATACGTGTCCTCTATATATCATAGTTTTGTGAAATCTGATACATTATTCCAATGTATCCGAAACATGAAAAAAGGTGAGAGAAACTGAAGACAAACGGAAATCCCTAAATAATTAGTACTCGATTGACACAAAGAAATACTGAATGAGGCTATATAAGCGAAATCACCTCTCAATGATAACATTTTGTATTCAAAGAGTCGTCAAATTTTAGCTGCAATTTGTATATTAAAGATTCGCTATTAGACACCAGCATACTTAAAAAAAAGCTGTAGAAAAATTTGAGGTTTTATGACTAGTCACAAAGACTCTGACAATATACGCTGAGCAGGATAGCAATGCTCAGTTTCTCAGCCTGTAATGACTTATGGGTGTGCTCTGCAAAATGTTTTTTATACTTTCCTAACGCGACTTTACTTCGATAGGAATTTATTAGTGCATGCTTGGAAATCATTTTAACCCGAGTAGGTTCGCATTCATCGAATCACTTATTCAGTAGTTTTTCTCTATGGAACTTTACAGGTCTTCAGCATAAAATACTATTCACAAGTTATCATTTCCACTGTTTTATTTAAGAACAAGTACCAAAGCTGTACTATGTAAAAAAAGGAAAATAGGTTTATTTGATATTCTAAGGATTAGACTGAGATTTGTGTGTAAAATGACTCGGTAGTCTTTATCTACCAATAGGGTAAAACAAAAGACAATCCTTTGTTGAAATACTGTAAAAGTGCTAGGTCATCTAATAATTAGCTTGTTCGATATTAATGAATCATAACAGTTAATTAGTTTAGTAGGTAATCCAATACACAATTGTTCTGATAAAAAAAAACTCTGAGACCTTACAAATTTGCGAATCAATAGTGTTGTACAATCACTTTTTGCAGCTGCCACCAATTTTATTGGCTATTTAATTTACCAAAAATTAATTTAAACAAAATTTCAGAGAAGTTTACCTTTAGATGACGCCTAGTCGGTTGCACATATTGTCCGAGTGTTACACAGTCAACTCCTGCTTGGCGTAGATCCTTCAAAGCTACCATCACTTCATGTTCAGTTTCACCAAGACCTAACATAATACTAGATTTAGTAACGATAAGAGAATCTGCATCTCCAGAGGAAACAAGGCGATTACTACGTTCCTTGGCAGTTTCTAAAGTTCGAAGTGACTGAGAGTAACCAGCACGCCTATCACGTACAACGCTAAAATTCAAAGTAACTTTTAGAAGTACAATTTTTATACTGATTAACATACAGTTAAAATATATATATAAACGTGTACACGACTTATTGCTTAATCTTCAAACAAACTAAAAATAAGAGATTTTTGAATACACTTTATTAGTTTAATTAATGCTGAGAAATGGTGAAAGTTGGAAGATCGAGATTAGTGGATTCCAGTTCAGTGATTAAATAGTGACGTGCTCATTTTGTAAGCTGACAGTGCTAGACTCAATCCAACACGATATTGCGGGTACACATTACTGAAGAGTTTCTAACTGATGTGAAAAAGCTACTCAATACTTCTTATTTTCGAGTGTTTTTGTTTTAGCTGATTCAGGCTTTTGACAAAAATTACTTTCTAATAGGTGAAAAATTGTGTAAGGTGAAGAGCCATACTGATATAATCATACTTCATGAAATTTTAAAAGTAAAATAGGGTAAGTTCTAAAACAAAAACGAATTGTAGTTTTTTTTCCTTCACGTTCCCAGTGGAACATAGGGTTTCAAGCTAATGGCTTGAAGTTTCTGTAGCAGTGTTTATTTTACAGGATGGGATTGCTAGCCGCATACCCAACCTTCCCTCTTTACCAGCATTATTTCTCGCTTAGCGAGGTAAAGGAGTGAGTCTCTGGCCGGGGATCGAACCCCGGACCATGTGCATGGTTGGCGAGCGTCCTAACCACTGTGCCACCGATGCACACAATTGTAGTTTTAGTGCAATATTATACCAATTTTAAACAACAATCCACATATTTCACTCACGTTTCTTCAAATTTTACAAAACATTCTTTGACTACTTAATAGAGTTCATTTAACTAATCCTTCCATGAACACGAAAACTGTTCATCATTATAGACCTAATTTGAAGATAATTCAAGGTGGACATCCCCCGTGTGTTTGAAGAACTACTTCCACCTTCACATACTTCAAATTACGTGTCTTACGGAAAGTTGTCAGTTCAGAGTCCAAGTGATAGCATGAACAAAAGGCTGGCAATTTATGTGCTGAATAAAATGAATAAAGATGTAAAGAAACAATCTTCTCAAAATGATAGACTGATTCGCTTCTTCTATCTAATCTCAACATTAATCATCTTGCAGGTAGTGTTGGGAAGACAAATGCTATCAAAATTTGTATTTGTGCTATGCTTTTAGTGGTCACGTTTTAGCAATCGTCAAATATTGTCGTTCCATGATAAGCAATCGGATATATACACGGGAAGTTCTGAGTTACATGTATACGTATTCCTTTGGAAAGTATATATGACAGATGATCAGTTCGGAAGCCAACCAATAAGAGAGCATGAATAATGACTAACTGTAAGACAACCACACAGCCAATCTGATTCCATAGATGGAACTAATATGCGTTATGCTTTTATTTCTGTGTTCATTTCACAATGTGATGTCTTTTCTCCTGCCATTTTAATGTTCGACAGTTGGAGGCACATGGTAAGAAGCCATAGGTCTAATTTTTGAACTGCCCGGTCTTTGTCTATGAGGCACATTTGTAACCTCGAAGGAAGTGTAATTTTTCAGAACAGAATTCAATGATCGGTACGGCAAACACAAAATAACTTTGAATACTCCCCCTAATGACCAATCGGTGTACTTTTCTTTCTTGTTGCAATACATGTACCCATTTTTCCTGGAAGTCTGCTCAGTTACTAGTCAGAGCCCAGAAAATTTCCTAGGAAGCTGCCCAGTGTTCACTGCTGGTAACCCATAATATTTGTACAATAACCAATATTCATAACAAAAATAGACTCTATTTATTATACAAACACACTTAGGAGAAGTGTCTGAATTGACTCACCTCTGTAATGACTCCACTGTCTCTATATTATGCGCGTATACTTCTGGGTTGGCGCGAACTACCGTAGTGATAGAATCTGTACAACCTTGAAAGTCTGGAACTAAACATTCGACTAAAATTGATGGTTTACGTGCTTTTATTTGTCGAACTGAAAAACATCGATTAAAAGGAAACTCATGTTTACAATTAATTTAACCTTGATGAGTTTACCTAAAAAATCGCATAAACTTCAAATAGTATGAGCAAACGAATGTAAATTAATAAAACTGACGACTGAATCAATATCGAAAACTGATGTTTGAAAACCACATTAAGTATTAAGTTCACAATGACGATTGTACAGATGCGATAAATCTATTTAAGTACTTGGATTTCACATAACAGGTTTTGGATTCAAATCTACACTTCAGTTTAGCTTGTATTTCAGGCGCTCCATATTTCACGCAGATAAGAGTGTTCATGAAGGTTCAATAAAGCTGCTGAGTTGTATACTTCTTCAATAAAGAAGTTGAAATATTGGTAATAAGATGAACAAATCACATAAGTTTTGTTAATAATAGATAGAAGTATTTCCTTTGTGAAACCACTACATTCAAGGAATATAAGAAGTCTCAAAGCTAACTGAATAATACAAGCGCTATACAGTTCAGATATGCACTCTTGATTAAACTATAACTGTTTGTCTTTGTCATATCTAACCCTATATATATCTTTACCAATACTAAGAATAATTAGGTCAGTCCAATTCTACGTAAGATGCACTAATGAGACAACTGAGTCACCAGCTGATGGTATGCATTGATGAAAAACACATGTCAATGTAATACAATACTACTAGTAAAAACACATTACAATAAGAAGGTAAATAAGGATCAATAGTAACAAAACATTACTTGTTTCAGCAATATGCCGGGCTCCTCCATCGACCAAATCATCACGATCCACTGAAGTGATTACAATATAGTCTACATCCCAATTGCTTATAGCTTCAGCAGTATTAACTGGTTCGTTTGGATCAAGAGGTGGTGGATTCGGGGAGGTTTTCACTGAACAAAATCGACAACCTCTTGTACATGTATCACCCATTATCTATAAGTAAATTATAATAATGATAGGGTCAATTATCCAACTATTTTGATAGAAATATAACTTGTTAAATAAGATATACATTGTTTAATGATTAACCAAATCTTCGCAAACAAGACAAACTTACACAGTTCACATATGTGGACAGAAAACAGTTGTAAATTAAAAATGAGGATTGACAATGTTGAAACACTCAGAATTTCTTCACCTAAATGATAATATGTTTCATTCCGAAAATTTATATTACTGTAAAGAAGAAAAGACCGATAAGGCGTGAACGCAATGTAGATACATATATTTAGTATACCTGATATTTAAGACCTTATTTGCACATCATTTGAAGATTGGTCAAATATCACCACATTCGATAGCTTTTTGGATTCTGCACAGTGTTGAAACGTTGTTCTCAAAGTTATCTTCTTCACTTGCTTTTTCCAGTGTCCAAAACATATTTTTACTTTTTTGAATTCGTTTACTGATATACTACTTATATCTGATTATAAGTAGCACTTACTACATTACCAATTACTGAAATTGTGAATGGTGAAATTTCATAACACACAAATACGGCCTCGCTACGAATCGAACACGAGTCTTAGACCGGTAGTCTTACGGATGAGTAGTTTGTTTTCACAGTGCTACACACCAGTTTCGTAGAAGATTAAGGTATGTATTGGAAGTCGATTCAAACGAAGAATCTTTTCCAATAAATTTACTTCAGACTCGTAGAATTTTAAAAATCAAATTTGTAATTATTATAACCACAGTCAAGCATATTTTAAGTAGAATATGAATAAAGATTCAAAATCAGATACCTCTGAGTTTTTCAAGTAATATGACGACTAGCATTTCTATGTCATTCATGGGGAATTAAGTGCAACTACAAAAATTGTCTATTCTCTTATGATCGATCATAGTAAATTCAGACAATGTGGGAAAGAAAAATTAATAAGCTGTTTTAAAGTTGTGACTAGCACACGTTTGATGAGGAGTGAAAATAATGGTGGTATGCATTAAAAAGAAGATAGTATGGCTGGAGTAAGTATTTCACCATGAAATAATCAATGTGCTGAATGTATGAGATTGAATCATATGCACCATAATAATAAATGCTTGTATGAATTCAGCTATCTGGAACAGGTGTCATATGTACCAGGATACGACATACACAATTACTGTGTGAGGGTAAATGATACTACCCAGTTACCCAGACTGAAGTAGGTGGGGCGGTATTCGAACTCGAGACCGAGTGGCTGGAAATCATGACCACGAAGCCTATGAGCTACGCATCCGGCGTAATAATAACACTGGTGACAAAGGATAATACTTCGTTAGTCTAAATAATATGAAGATTTAAGCAAAATGTTTGAAGGCTGTTAGAAAGAGGAACTTAAAGTTTGAAGCAGTGTCTTTCAATTTGTTTAGAGAAAATACAGAAAATAAATTGAGAAAGAAACGTTTACCTGGAAATGTAGCAATCAATCTACACGCAAAAAGGAGAGGAATAAAAGCAGGATGGTCTAGCTCACGGCAACATTTGCCGTGAAATAATGTACATGGAATGTACTTGATATTTTGGGCATGCACTATCGGATTTAAAGGCATATTACCATCTGGATGATGCCCCACATCTAATATTTGTACAAATACGGAACTCCTGATGAGTTTAACTTCACTTTTTGTGAAAAAGCTAAACAAAGACCTAATAGCACATTCTATGCAACGTAATCCACCGAAACAGTTAAATCAATATGCACATGATGATAGACTGAGTTTTGGTCACTAGTTTTAGAAATAGGCTTCTTTTGATGGAACTATCTTTTTGTCGCACTAATCAGACTGAGAGGATATGCATAGTTACTTTATTTACTTCTGCAGAATGAGCAACATTAAATTTTCTATAAATTGAGACATTACATGATGCATTCATCGTAGTCTGTAGATGTGCTAAATATGCAACAACAGAATGATTCCACTTCTGCTATTTCCTTGAACTGTTCTAGAAATATACTTACCTACAGACAAAGACATTGTTACAGATTTCTTCGCTACCCAATCAAAATGATTATACAATTCATCATACATTCAAGAGATAGTTCCCTGAGGAATCCCAGAATGTAACTCTCTCCTTAGTAACCGTTCGCGGATACACTCCACTTTTTTAATAAGAGGAATATGAAAGAAAAAAGATGTAACATAAACTAATGCCGTGCTTATTCCAGATTCAACGAAATTTTTAATTCTATTAAAAAGCAGGAAGATATTCTTGTTAATATATTTCACTAGACAATCATTCAAAGGTTGAAGAAACTGCACTAACCACTTTGGCATCACCTTGTGGGGTGAATGTGATACATTTTGGATAGAATGAAGTGGTACTTTTAGTATGCTTTCAGTAAACCGCACATGTGTGATATGGTATTGCATACAACATTCAGACTTAATGTTACTCTCTTTCGTTTAGTTTCTTCAGCTAGATAATGATATCTTTCTCAGGTTTTCATTGATTCTGATGACTGAGACTAGGTCTCATTCACCAGTATAGATTTCGTTGAAATAGTCGAATTATGTCTGTTCATAATTACAGTTTCAGCCCTCTAATCCGTTTTTATAATGACTATGTCCTAACTAAGCGTAAGTCTTTTGATAGCATAGTGATATACTGTAGCGAGTACGCTTATAGGACAAAACTTATGATTACGTTTATACTGACATAAAAAGTTTATCAAAATTCAATCAAACCTTTTCAGGTTTTCATCAGAAGAGGTAACCTAGTCAACTATTTACAAATAAAGGTTATTCAAGTGCACATCTGTATCCGTTTGACTAATATAGTTACAAATGTCACATAGTTTTGCCCAACAGACAGTACCTCTAGTTGTAGTTCATGAGGAATTGCGCTGGAATGGTCTCTGATACGCATATGAATACGTAAAACATTTGCTGGTTGTGTTAGACCACTGTGCTGTTTGTTCAACAGGGTACGGTTCTTTTTCAGAGTCCGATTTCGTAATCTGATATTTGATAAATTTAAGTCTAGTATTTCCTAACATATCACCGTTCGTATCCAAATATTGGTTTGTAGGAATTTGATTGATTGGTTACAGGATTCCATCATGAGCTGACATCAGTTAAAGAACCATTGGAAAACCACTAGGGAGTACCGGAGATTCGTTTCGTGCTAGTTTGGGACTCTTCAAGGTAAGCACCCGCCGCCAGGGTTCGAACCCAGGACCTTCTGGTTGTAAGGCGAGCTCGTAGACCATTAAGCCAGTGGGACCCGATCCAATGCCCGGTGCATGAATTCCAACTTCCGCCAATTCATGAACTCCAGTGGGTGCGTACTGTTGAGGAGTCCCAAACTAGGACGAGACAACTGTCCAATACTCCCAGATTTTCCAATGCTTCTCTAACCGACGTCAGCTCATGATGAAATCCCGTAACATCACCATTCAACTGAACCCTTTTTTGTAACTGGATTCAACTCACCACTAAAAGTCATCATATTACTTCATAGACAGAGAATTATCAGACTTTAAATCCTCATTCATATTCCACTATAAACATGCTTAGCTATGATTATAATAATGACACCAGGTTTTTATTTTACACTTTTAAGGGTGCAAATGGAATTTACTGAAAAAGTGCTTTGTTCGGACTAACTTCTGAACCATAAAATGGAGGTATTTTAGACTGTGACATAGTTTAATTTCTCGAACCTTTTTTAATTACTCAGAGAGTAAATATTCGCAATAAAACTTTCGGGCTCTAAAGCTTTGCTTACTTTAAAATGTTCAATTGTTAGATCTCCAACCAATTCTTTAATTATTTCACAACTTGCTTTACCAAATGTGCATCTACATGTGAGCTTGCATTATTTTTTGTTTTGACAAAGCATATTTATATATCTTAGTGTTAAATACACCCAGTTTGGCACCAATTTTTTCTATTCCTTTACTTTTCGGGCAGAATATAAGGCGACAAGCTAGAGCTTTGAAGTTTCGGTGGCAATGGTTTTTATTTTTACGGAGTGGGGTTGCTAGCCTCACGCCCAGCTCTCCCTCTTTACCGGGCTTACTACTGGCATATTAAGGTTTTGGAGTCCGTCTCCCGACGATGCAGTCCCGTACCACATGCCTGGTTGGCGTACATTCTACCGCTGAACGACCAACACACAGGTTAACTCTATACACCTTTGCTTACTTTAAATTTATCTCTGAAATAGTAATTTCCTCCGACAAACATATAAACACTATTTTTGTACATTTTATTTGCGGATTAACAACTTTAAAGTGAATTTCGTAATTTTATAATTTATACACTGCAATATTTTTCGCTACGCATTTCCTTCTTTTAGGAGAAAATCCAATTGCACTACATAATTAGAATTCACTAAACTTCACAAGACAAGATACAGATGAAATAGAATGGATCCGTTTTACCCTGCTCTATGTGCTATTATTCCTATGTTCAAGTTGAATGTGAAGAATTCACATATGAAATCTATCAGGAAAACAGTTTGCTGTTTTACTATAAGTTATTGGCACATAAAGGCTAAACGACGTCAAAACCTAATAACTCGAAACATACATTCAATGTACAAAGCTATAAGCCATAGTTGTTTTACACCGACGCATGATACCACTCAGGCACTCAGAACGAAGTATTTAGAGTTATATTCAATTTACTGATTGGTGCTGAAATCAATGTGCTACACCTTCACATAGTCTTAATGAAAGCATACTGTTGACGTAAAACATTAAGGTAGAAGTACATCTAAGTAACAACCGAAACACCCACGTTAACGTAATCCAAGTCGAAAACGTTCGTTTAAAGAGTCATTTTTTGCATTCAACTAATAAACACGTGGATATTTTCTCGACAATACACCTTCTCATTGTTAAAGACACTTACCATGATGGTAGCTGTGGATGCTGCAGAACTTCCACCACTCCAGCATTCACTGAGATTAGGACATCGAGCTTCTTCACAAACCTATACAAAAAAATCAATGATTTATGGATATATATATATATATATATATATATATATATATATATACATGCAAGAACAGAAATCATCTAATGAAACTACACAGGAATTCGAGTTCAGCTCAATCAAACGCTAAATCCACGTGTGTACGTAGAATGCTGAATGAAGTAGATTTTTCTACAAACTGAAATGACTCACCACTACTTAGAGTTATTCTAAGTCTACTAAGAAAGGTTTAGAGCTGATATTTAATGGCTTTGGTCTTATTTCCGATGAAAAATACCAGAAGATATTGTCAACGGAAACCAAGTCATTTTTCCGAAGAAACGATGTCAGTTGAATTAGAAAACCCCTGGACGACATTAGATAGCCGACAGAATTCGTTAACAAAAATATTTTAAATCTAAGGGAAAAAATGTTGGTTCCGGAATGTAAGACCGCTTCACAATTACATCAATTTGCTTACTTATACTGGTAATGGTATGAATATACAAGAAACAGAGTGATTGCAAGAATGACCTCTGAATATGTACAGATTTATGATCTCGAATTGTAAGAATGTCTAAAACTTACTTTGATGGACTCATCCTCAATACACATAATACGGTAGTGGAGAGCTGCTTTGTACAAAAGTAACAGCAGTCTGTCAATTTGAACCGAAATGACCTTTTATTCACTCTTTTTTAATGATTCGCTTCTTTTCTATGGATTTATTTACCAACTGAATCTTATATCTGGTTTCAAATCATTATATGCTATTCATAGATCTTAACGGATATTTTTATCCCGTTATTGATTTCTTATAGTGTTGACTGGAGTTGTTTGATGTGCTGGTGGACATTACTACTACGAGAACATAAGATTATTGAGTCCATAGATGTATATGCATATTGAATTTCACAATTGTGCAAATACTTATTTGCCCTTAATGACATCTTACATTATGATAGTGTATTTATAAGGTGTACGGATCATTTTCCATAAACTAGGTGATAAATTCGCTCGTTTGTTTAGTTTTATCAAAGTGAATTATAATTTGAAAAGGAAACTACTATTATGAGGTAATATGCAATATGAGGATCAATGATAAGCAAAAATCATTGATTAGGAGTTATTCTAACACAAACAACTATATACGTTCAACGTTAATTCAACAATGTAGATAATTTATCCATGAGTTACGTTTTAATCATCATCATCATCCAAGGTACGACTTGAAGTAACTAACAGGATTTAACATAATACAAATTAAATATAAAATAAGAAATATGTTACGCTTCAAGTAATGATATTTTCCATCTAGCTATGCCGACTAAAAGATGAAATACACAATGACTTACTGTATGTAAATTTAATGAACGTAACTGTTTCTCTAAGCGTGCAACATTACCACCACAAGGAATTTCAGTCTTAAGCCATTTTGGAAGACGAAGACTGGAAATGTATAAAACAAAATTTGATCAATGCATGCATGTTTAAATTAAAAATATGAACATAAGTTTAGTTACAAATTCATTAATAATATGATATAATTTCAGCTAGATATCTGGAAAAGATCAAGTATTGAAGTACGTATGAAATAGGGATACTAACGTGAATTCCTTTCTCCTTTAGTATGACGCAAATAAGATTAACAGATCTTAGCATACATAAGTACACTTTGCTAATCCTCTGAAACTAGTTCTGTCTATGTCATACAAGAAAATGCGATGTGGAAGCTGACCTTCACCAACTATGTTAACAAAGTCCTACTTGAAGCTAAGTGCGTTAGACGTCTGAAATATCAAATCAGAGTTCCCTTAAAAAAAGTTGAGAATGAGACTGCCAGTCAAAACGAACCAAATATAACTAGAGTTTTATTCTGTTCAGTTCTTTGCTAAAAATAAATTCTGAAGCATGTTGTGTTCGCACAATACATTTGATATGTCATAAGTTTTGCAAGTAATTATGAATGACAGAAAATCCCCAACAAGATTGATAACAACCATAACGATGTTTTCAATGTGATAATAGGTCAAAATATAGAAAAGTTGACCACCATGAATGAAATCATCTTTCGAAAAAACACCTTTCATTACAAAATCCACACAAGATCTATGCATTATGTGTCTCTGTCTGTTTTCGACATATAACTTTGCACAAATGTGCGCCAGTTCAAGTCGCCACACTCCGTGTAGCACGCGAAGCAAGAGAAGAAAGTACAAGAAAAGCATAATAGAAACAGTGAGCAGAGGTGTGAGACAAAAGAGTAATAAATTATGTGTGGTTACATGTTAAATCACTGTTCACGTAAATAAGTACGTAGTGCAGAGTAAAAAGTGATGGATGAGAACTTTGCAGTTTTCCTATTATATACATATATTGCGTGTGTGTGTGTGTGTGGAAATGTTACCAAATGGCAAAAGTCATCGACTTCCAGTTAGTAGATATCGAGTTCTAATATCGCATCATCAACCCTCACAAAATAAATGTGGTTCATAGCTTAATACATGGAATACCTATTCCGGGAACTGAACTCAAACAAGCAGAGTGTGTTTAGTTATGCGAAATTACATATTTCTTAGCTAAGTATGAATAAGACTAAATATCTCAAGAAAAATGATAATCAAAGATATATCTATTCATGATAAAAATTTTAAATTTTAAAATTACCGTTCACCAGTTTTAGACACTTTACTTTGAGATTCATGAATACCTTGATCAACTGCCTGATTGCTTTTGCCAAGTTTGATAAATTCGGAAAGACTGGGACCATGAGCAATAGCTTTCTGAAATTCAGAAGAGAGTTTTTGGTTTGGCAAGCTGCTATCGTTCTTTGATTCTCCAAAATCATTTGATTTGTCAGTGGATGAAAATGCCTGTGCAATATTTAATCTTATATATAACCGCCCAATACATGTTTTTGTACTAAGCTGCAAATTCTTTTGAACGTTTATCACAGATAAACTTCTTGCTGAAGCTAAGGCCATTCGTCTGATTCCAGATAATAGACAGTCTTATGTTTTGGCAGCCTTGAAGTCAAAGATAAGACGACAAGTGCACGTTATTTTAAACCATATACTTTTCCATTCTCTTTAGTTTCTATAAAGTAACTGAATGAAAATAAGATTGTTAAAAACAAAACGGATTTAAATGCGCTCTTGTAAGACGCACATCGTAGGAACATTGAGGGGTCTGCATTAGTTTGCCATCCTATACCCTAGAATACCGTAGTCAAGAGTATTAGCAAGATGCAAAAGATTACATGATCAGTAGTTCAAATGATGGAGCACTCGCCTAACAATCCGGAAGCTACCAGTCCGAATTCCGCTACGACGAAAGTTTTCATCGAATCTTTAGTTATTAGCTATCAAATTATTAGTAGTCTGCCAACCCAAGACTATCCTAGATAGCCTTATTATAAGTATAAACAGTAACCAAAAATAACTGATATGGGACATCGTGTTTACAGTTTGGAGAACGACTGTAAATAAATGCACACCAACCAGTACAACTCATTTCACCTACTGCTTCTGACCAATAATTTTCAGCAACTTAAGGCCTTAAGTTACGAAACCTAATTATCTTTAATTTCATATTATCCAGTTTATTGGAAATATCACAAAACTGTACAGTATTTTTTGCTGGATTTCATTACGCACACAATTTATCATTCATAATCATATCAATTGTAACTACAAAATTTGAAACCGAAGTTTTTATAGCTTTTGTTCTTATTTGTTTGTAGAAAGGGGAGTAGAATTTTCCAGAGATCCAGGACAGGTGTTGAATCATCCTTACTGCACATACCCCTTGGTGATTCGATATATAAAGCTCCAATTATCCCGTACTGCCATGGCTGATCTTTTCCCTAGATTTCCTGTCTTTCTGAGATCCACTACTTTACATTTGCAAATTAATTTGTGAAGGTAACTATCAATTTCTAACGCTTATGTTATGCATTTTACTTTCTGTCGTAGATTTCCCTTTGTACAAATTAGCTTCTTTCTCATATCACTTAAGTATTTCACTCATCTTATTTCTATTAATATGCCTTTGGATGATGCGAAATCCAAGTATCAGTTTGCATTTGCGAGTATTCTGTTAGAGTTCATAGTTATTTTTCCATCTTTTTTAACGTTTAATTACGTAAGCCAAAACGAAAGTTCTCCTTCGTGACTTTCCAACTCATAAGTACACTGAATAGCATCTATCATTGAATTCATGTCTTCAAAACACCTGTCTATGTCTTGTATTACTAATACTTTGAATGGGTCACCTACATAACCCTACCCTATTTTGGGGGAGGAGTTGAACATTTCAGTCACTGACATTTAGCACCTACTCATATACATGTACATTTTTTTATTCCTTTACGTTACTAGTGGAACATAGGGCTTCAAGCTAGAGGCTTGAAGTTTCGGCGGCTGTGGTGTTTTATTTTTACGAGATGGGGTTGTTGGTCTCATGCCCAATTCCCTTTTTACCAGTCATATTACTGGCTTAACGAGGTAAAGGAGTGCATCGGCCGGGGGCCAAACTACGAACCACATGCGTGGTTGGTGAGCACTATATATATATATATGTATATATATATATATATATATATATATGCCACAAATACAGATATCGGTAACCCTACGACAATTCTGTTTGCATAGTTTTCTTTGAAACATAAATACTGTAGAAGTCAGACATAGGTGCACTCGTAACACGGTGTCTTTTATTGGCACTAACTCTAAGTACTTGGTTAGATATGAGTTAGTTCTTGATAGCTTATTCGCATTTATGTAGATAAGCTAATGGGGTTAAAACCAACCATTTTTCCACCATCTATTTTAAATTCTTAAACCTATGCATTGACTGGTCATGTCCCGTATCTATTCTTATGAGTTGGTGCTGACGAATTCTATCAGTCACGTTTCAAGATGGTTGCCAAGATAAGTAACTAACCACTGCGGGTACTTTGAATTCTGGCTAAGCGATCGGAGGCAATTTGCAGGAATTTCTGTACCTATGTTCAGTGCTTGTTGGCACTTATCAGCAAGGTGCATCTGCAAACTCGAATGAACTTATATCATTTTGAAGTTTGAGTTAGTGAGAATTTTATTCTGGCAGTTAAACAGAGGAAGGTCTCATAGGTGTATAAGAACCAGTGGGAAATGATAGGTATAAGAATATAATCTCGTCTTTCAAAATCTATGTATATGACAAGTATCTGCTAACAAGTGATAACAGAAAGCCAAATCTAATCACTTAATGCCTAAAAATAAAGATTATCTGTTAAGCAAGCATTATTATAACCAATTATTCGCTTCAAGTAATTCAAAATATACAGAAGAGCACATAAGAACACAAACTTAAGCTTAATCTATTATATTATAGTTGATGGAATACTTTTTAGGTTAAAATACTGCATGTTACTTTGATAATCCAATCTAATAAAACTGTAGTATCTACCATATCATACAGACCTGAAAATACACCACAGTGGCTACTTTAATAGTGTGACCGCTTTGTATTACAGAGAACAACTTGAGGAAGACGGCATTTTAGTGGTATATATATATATATATATATATATATATATATATGTTCAGAAAAGTCTGCTACCAAATTTCAGTTTTCCCCATGTGCTAATTATTCGCTATTATTAAATGCAAATAAAATTCCACAGAAACGCAGTAGATTTTATAGATCAAACGTTGTAGGAAAACAGCATAGGTTTGAAGGGTTTGTTGTCAAACTTTTATCTTTGAAGAGGAAACAACATTTTTAAATGTCAGATAAGTGAATTTATAATAGTGTGAAAAAGAGCATCTCTTGGCACCTATAAAGTGTCCAATTTGATTGAAATGAATAAATAAATAAGAATGAAGAAACTATTCCACCACATAGTTTTGGTTTGCTTAATATTACTCATGCCTCTTGCTGTGTCAATGAAATGACAAAAGTTTGCCAAAGTATTCTTATTGTTTTTAGCTTGAGTGCGAGTATTGAAATCAACACAAGATGGAAACTTCGTCTTCCACTTCTGAAGATAAAAATGTGAGGTTGGCAACCACAGAGGGATAGCTAGGAATTTATCAAATGCTGAGTAATATTCAAACCTTTGAAAAGTAGTGGAATATTTAGTTTGGTGCTGAAATAGAAAATATGCAACCAAATGATAGTAGAAATCTCACCTCCATGGCGTTATCTGAGGTCATTCAGAAGAGACCTACCCTAGTTCGCTTCAGCTTTGATTAACAGTACACGCAGATTAAACGAACACTGAATAACAGCTTAATGGTGAGTACTTACGTGTAATGAAAAGGTATAAGAAAAAAATGGCGCTAGGCATCTTTCACCAAGCATCAACAACCATTTAAAACGGCCTCACTGAAAGTGATAAACAAAAAAAACCACAGGTGAAAAAACGTTTGAAAATCTCTAGGATTTAGATACTATATGCTACCTAGTGTACTCCGAAGCGAAACTCAGTTGGTGTTGTCAGGTTTCCTTTTTCACACGAACAAGTTGGATACGATAACCTGCTCCTTAACTTATTTAAGTCCCAAATTGTTACACAACCAACATTTTAAAGGATGGGTACTATGATCCGAAATTCGAAACAGCCAGATAACTAGGCATGTCTTCTATAGGACGGGTCTGGACCGTTAGTTATTTTAATTGGCTTCTCCATGAATACAAGTGAGTTACTTTGGCCGACAAATACAGAGGCGCCAAATAATATCCACTTAATGGAACAAATATACAGAAAGCTATGTAAGACAAACATGAATGACGTTGAATTAGATAACAAAGAATTTTCGTCAAAAGTTCATACAGCCGCCATGCTTCCCTTTCAGTTAGACGAATCTCCGAAATCTAGGTGTATTGCACGTCCATACACAAATTTCAACTGTGACGTCAGATATTCGGATATCCCTCAAAAACAATCTTTGTATGTATCTGCCTGTTATAAGTAATGAGAACTGAGAAACTTTTTAGAAAGGCTGTTATTTTGAGACAATTCTGTCTTCAAGATCACTTGACAAAGCTGTTACCATCCAAATGGAACATTCCGCAGAAATTAGGACGAATGCCATAAAAGTGTGAGGAACTCAGAGTGGTGTGCTTCATTAGGGTTTTCAAACCTTGTGTCTATTCATCCTATTATTTAGGGACTAATTTAGATAGGAATGAAAGTGGAAAGATATGTTCTAGGTGAGAAAAGCATTCGCAGTCTTCATTTTAGAAGCTATCAAACACTTTCTTAATACACGAACCTAACGCAAAGTGTTCTCGATACCAAGCTAGCATTGACTTGGGCGCACATCAGATGACTAACCCCCTTTCTGGGATGCGCCCGAAGAGTTTCCCTGAAAATCCTACAATGCTACTGAATAAACTGCTACTTAGGAGTAGAACACACCAAGGACAGTTGGCTACATAAAATGTTCTGAATTCTCTTTTTCCGAACAAACTTAAGTGATTAGCTATGTTTTTTCCTGACATTTGAACAACTTCTAGACAAAGTTAACATGAAAATAGAACGGACACTAGAACAGATCTGTAAGTTAGACTCATGAAAAACACCCCCCGAATCACATTAAAAACGTCATACGACTAATTTTATAGTAACTAAGCTGCGTTTAGACGTCAATACCGACACATTAAGTTTATTCACTGCTACAGACTGTCCTCATGATCTCACATGGATATATCGGTTTTCAACTTACATTTGACACTGATGTGAAACAGCGAAAGGAATGGTGTGTTATCCCAGTAGAATATGTGATGGAGCATTTACCCTTAATTAATTATGACGAATATTACCGAAATCCTTACAATTGCCACCATAACACTAATATTTTATCGCGTACCGTCTTAGTTGAATAAAGCAACTGTGAAGTATCACCAATATCTGTAGAACAATGTTCGTCTTACCTCAGATTCAGATTTATTGGTTGAGGATAGAAGGCTTGCAGCCTATGTTAATCCTTTTCTAGTAGATTTCTGTGGTTGTCCAAACCCTTCTTGAACGAATCAGTTGAGGTTGCAGACACCACTTCTGGGAGTCGGTTCCAAGAGTTTATGACTCGATGTGAGAACCAGTACTCAACAGCAATATGATTTCTCCTTGGCTTTTGAACTTTCCTGCTATGTCCTCTAAGGTGTTCCGACCTGGTGGGAAGGAAAAGAGAGAATAGGTCAGGTCCGTAGTCATTATTTAAAATTTTAAACATTGTGATTAAATCTCCTCTCTGCCTACGGTATGACAGTGAGAAGAGATTTAAACTATCTAGTCTTTCCTCGTATGATAAGTTAGCTATGCCGTGAACCATACGTGTTGCCTTCCTTTGAACACTTTCTAGAATGTGTGAATCCCCTTTTAGACAAGGACTGGCGGCCTGGATGCAGTTTTCCAGTCTTGACCTAACCAGAGATGTGTATAAGGAGGTGAACATATCTCTGGTAATTCTTGTAAAGGCTCTGCGAATCGCCCATAAGGACCTGAAACTACGTGCAGCCACCGCGCGACAGTGTGCTGTAGTTTTTAAGTCGTGGCTAACTATGACACCTAAGTCCAAGTGAGTCTGAACTGATGGAAGTGTTATTCCCTCTAATTCGTAGGGGCTTGTGCTTGATTGTCCAATGCGCATGGTTGCACATTTTGCCACATTGATCGGGAGCATCCATTCAACAGACCACTCCGACAATTTGTTGAGGTCTTCTTGCAACGTGACGTATCACTGTTGCTCTTCAGCTCTCTCCAAATTTTTAAGTCATCTGCGTATAGGACCATAGGGGAGTCGGTGAGCAGAGGTAACTCATTGATATACAGAATAAAAAGGAGAGGACCGAGAACCGTGCCTTGTGGCACTCCGCTACTTACTGCTGTCCAGGAGGAGAGTTTTGAGTTGATCCTAACCCTCTGCCTCCTATCTATGAGGAATTCCCTGAGCCAGTCTAGTAGTCTGCCTTTGATACCAAGACTTTCCAATTTCATGAGTAGTCTTTTGTGAGGTACTTTATCAAAGGCTTTACTGAAGTCTATGAAGACGACGTCAACGGGTCTTCTGTTGTCCTTTGATTTGACCCAGCTTTCTCTTGCAGTCAGGAGATTTGACAGGCATGAGAGGTTCCTCCGGAAGCCATGCTGTGCTCCAGATAACAAGCTGCTATTTTCCAGATAAGCCATGATGCTTTTCTTGATAATTCTTTCCAGTGTCTTGATTAAAGTGCTGGTGAGACTGATAGGCCTGTAATTTGAAGGGCTTTGTCTTGATCCTCCTTTGTGGATAGGGGTTACTATGGCGTCTTTCCAATCACGTGGCAACACTCCATTTAGGAGAGATAGCTTGAAGATCGTGGTCAAGGGGCCGGCTATGTGGGCTGATAGCTCCTTGAGAAGCCTTGGATGAAGATTGTCAGGACCCATTGATTTTCCTGCATCTAGTTTCATTAAGAAGTTGAGCACGATGCCTTGGTCGATGTCAACGGAATCTATCCCATGTTCTTCTGATGCAGCCAGAGCTGATCCTATAGGCAGTGATGACTCCTGAGTGAAGACTTGGGAGAAGTAGTTTGCCATTGCTTCTGCTTTTTCTTGATCTTCTTCGATTGTATCTTTGTCAATAATCAGGTTTGGGACACCATTGGATTTTTTATTCCTGAAATTTAAGTACGAGAAAATTTTCTTCTGACTCGTTTAGAAGAAGTGACTAACTTAACATGGCTATTGAAGATCCAAATCTTGTTGTCTATATCGTGGAGTGCTGAATATTTTCAAATCGGTTTCAGGTTGAGGAAGGCGTATCATGTCACTTCGATTCTGGCTGGCTCAGACATCTTCATCCGTTCCGCCCACAGTCGAAACGACGCTTCCTGTTCGAATAAGTGAAAGAGAGAACCTTCAAATCTCTCTCATCGATGGGGATAGGTGCCGGTTTTCGTTGTTGTTGTTGATGAAGTTGGTTGATTATGTTCATCACCTCCGTCTTCTCTGTGCTCACCTGAAGTCCTGTCTCCACCGCCTGCATAAGCACTCCAGCCAGTTTGTTGGCCTTGGCTTGTAAGTCTTCGGGTTTATGTGACATCAGACATACGTCATCTGCGGAATCCAGATCTTCTAGTGTCTCCTTCTCGCCCGCCCGATTTGGTCATCTCTCCTCACTTCCGCGGTCTGACGCGCAATGCAGCCCGCCACAGTTATTGATATCATTGTTGATAGTAAGTAGCCAGCCTTGTGTTACCCCTGTGTTCACTTCGAACGCCTGTCCGAGTTTTCGGTCGTGGATCACCTGACACGTGTCATTGTCATATGACCAGCTGTTGAATGCGGTCGATCAAGACTTTGGCGCCGCACGCCGCAGTGTTGAAGTAGTTTCCAGAATACATCTTGGTCAGCACTGTCTGTCGAAGGTCTTTTCGAAGTCTATGAAGTCGAGGTAGGGGCTTCACTGCCACTCTATACTTTGTTCGATGACGAAGAATAGAGTGGTAATTCGATCAACACATGATTTGTCTCTCCTGATTCCAGCTTATTCGGGCGGGCGGAGTTCTGTACGCAGCGTATCTTTGTATTTTCTCCAAGATAAAGTGACCCAGTATTTTACTTGATATCGACAAGAGCATTATTGCACGCCATCCCTTGTACATGTTTAGGTCGCTCATCTTCGATGTGTCCTGAACGAATTCATCAATCACGGGTGAGAAGGTGAAGCTCCTTGGAACAGATGTCTAAATTATTTCTGTGGACCTATTCTCTATCAAAAGTCGGAATCTGATAGAATAAATGCCATGGGATTAACGACTGCATGTACTAAATTTAAAACCTGAAAACCTAAACCTTTGAGACTCCCAAACAAAAATTAAAGTCATCCATATGTTAATTTCATTTAGATAATGCATTTCTTTGTATTAATTCACCTGGGATGCAAGGATAATTTTACGCGTTAAATCGGACACGGCACATGAAAATATCGCCTTTTAAATTAAATATATATACTTAATTTTTCACAAAATTTGATGATAATAACTCCTCTGTAGAGATGAACATGATAGCCCATACTGTAATTGTTGTCGAAGATTGACGATCAATTCATGGTTGTTTGCTCAAACCCAACTCCTCCATATTTTTCGTGGGAGTCATCGAAACTACAGTCATCGTCTCATCGTTCGCCTTTCAGGGAAGATAAAAACTATCAGAAGTATTATCATGATTTGTTGTTATGACATTTATTCTTAGACCTTGTGTATAATAACCTTATTGTTGGTTATATGTTGGCGAAAGAATAAAGGATTTTCGAGTCGCCAATCAGTGTTCTGGTTTTCGCGTTGGTTAGGACAAAGTGTTTCTGAAAGTCTTCGAGGGAAAGCGTGAGCTCCAGCGTAGTAAGAGCTGGACATTGACAGTTTCTGATAGTTTTTGATAGTTTCTGTTCGTCTATCCTGGTGTCTGCCCATTTTCACTGAGCAACTGTTATCTGAGACTTTTCTGGATCGTTTGATAAAGTTCAGTAATGTCTGGGTAAAAGAAGGGACGAAGCGTCTCGGAAGCAGGCAGGAAAGTAAGTGATGCTGAGTTGCTTGTTAATTGTAATGATATGCATGATGCTCAGCATGACGTGTCTGTTGTTCAGTGTTCGGCGTTTAGGGATAGCAAGGGTTAAAATTTAACTAAATTTGAACCTCGGTGTTTCGACGGAAACCCAGCTGACTATTTACGGTTTGTAAAGGAGTTCGAAGTCATGTTGAGTAGTTTTTTATCAAATGATGAGACGAAGTTGATGTATTTGATGAGGTACTGCACTGGAGTTGCTTCAAAAGCTATACAATGCTGTAAGTTCATGCCCTCTAACGAAGGATACAGTGAGGCTATGAGTATACTGCGTCAAGGATTCGGAAGACCTTCGATGATTGTGGGGAAATTATTCGAGGCTGTTAGTGGTAATTGTGGTCAATTACAAGACGACTCCAAGGCACTACCTGAGTTTTTGGATGATCTGATGACCTACACGAAATATGTTGATTTCGATGAATTGCATGAGTGATCTGAACTCAAGTTCCGTTCTAGAGGTAATGGCGAGACGCCCACCTACTCGACCGCAAAGGAAGTGGATGAAGATAAGCTCTCGTATAGAGGATGATGTTATTGAGCCAAAGTTCGATGATATTCTGAAACTAGTAAAAGATAGTGTCAATCAATCTATGAGCACGTTTACCAGTATATTGAATATCACCCCTAGAATAGAGCAGTCTGAGAGCAAAACGCAATCATTGATGACGAATAGGCCTCAGAGAGGTGGATATCAAGAAGGCTTTATGGTGTCTAGTAACGCATGTAGACTTAGTGAGTGTAACAGCTACAAGCTGCAAGACAAACACGGTTGTGTTTTACACGTTTTCAAGAAGTGCATACAATGATGATCTGTGAATCAGTGAGCAAGTTTAGTGATGAGCTAAATGTGAAATCAAGGTCTGACTCAGAATCGTGTGACAGTAATGGTGCAGTGAGAAGCCTGTAGTTACAACTGGTAAGCCATTGTTGAATAAAGTGTCTTAGACGACACCGCAAATTGTGCAGGAAAAGAGAGTTACAGTTTCAGAGTTGAGTTCTGACTCCACAAGTTTTCAAGGTATTACTAGTCAGAGTAAAGGTATGAAACCTTAAGGGATTTGTCAGAAAGAACCCAAATCATCTACGGCTGTTATTAAAGAGGTTGAAAATGATGAAGTCGACCAGGTAAACGACGGTAAATTGGATATTTTTGATAATGATCATGATAGCATTCTATTGTCTATGGTTGATCATGATGAGATGAGGGGAGTGCCTACTACTGCTGTTGAGCTGAACAAAGGTTCTGTACAACTACAACGTGAAGTAGAATTAAAGGCAGATGCAGTGGCAGAAGGTATGGATACTCATGAGACCGTCAGGAATTGACGTCGTACACAAACCAACAAAGTCACTTCACCTAATTCTATGTCAACCAAAAGACTCAACAGCGAAAGAAGATAAAACCAACATCATCTACAAAATAAATTGTAACAACTGCGAAAAACACTACATTGGCCAAAGTGGACGTCCCTTTCGTCTTCGTATCCATGATCATAAGTTAGCCGTCAGAAGACATGATATCCACTCCCTCACATCACTACATACAGACAACCACGGACATCAATTCGACTGGGACAACGTTCAAATATCAGACAGAGGAAACAACAAGAATGCTAGAGAATTTTTGGAAGCCTACGTGGTATTCCAGTGAATCATCAGTCAATAGACACATCGAGATAGACAAAAGTTATCAACCAATAAGAAAGAAACTTCACACACAAAGGGTCAAAGTTCAAATCAAAGAAACAGTCAGTTCCAATACAAGTAACCCAGAAGATGTGAAAACACACATAAACAACCAATCACGTCCAAGGTCACCAGGAGAGATGATTAATAAACTCGTGGAGAAATCTAAAAGCTCACCTCAAATTGAAGTATGCGCTGAAGATGTTGTTTAGTGGTGGAGCAATGAAGGCTTCGCAAATTAACTATTCATCTCAGAGAACACAACCATATAAAGAACAGTTGAAGTCATAGACACTCTCTTGAATAAGCCAGAGCTGTGTTTAGCAGAAATATTTGCTGACAATTTTCTTACCTTGGCCGTCACTGCATGAGTGTGGACGACTGGAAATTTCTCCACTAATCAGTTTGAAAGCTATTATTGTCAATATTATCTTATCGTTCTTTTTATTTCATCTTTATATGCCTGTTTCGTAATCAATCTGAACACTAATACATCTCACAGTTACTCCGGGTCTTTCAGATACTACACGTTAAATGATCCACTCGTTTAACTATCAGCTACTTGCACCCATTGAATGTTTCTATGAATTTTGTTAGTTAGTTATCACTTCCTCGAGAGGTAAATATTGACTAATTATTGTTAACTAATTATAGTTACTAGATTGGTCAATCTTTGGTATTTTGAAAGTTACTGTAGCGAATAGAGTGGAGCCATAGATGACGATCTGTTTAGAAATTCATTATTTGTCTGCTCTATTATTTTGTTTTCATGTTGAAATCAATTAACAACCAAATTAGAAAATTTGGCAGAAAATAGACCAATAATAGTCAAGGTCGTCAGGGTTTGCCGCTGGCAACTGAAAGCTGGCTGTAGTGATTTTCTAATTGTATAGGGTATAATGAACCGGATTTTCGGACAGTCGAAACCAAAGCAGCCCCCTCCGAATCTGTCTGATGTCATTGCTAACGTAGGATAATCATTTTACAAGACTCAGTTCCTGTAGGTAGATGGTAGGGTTGACTCCGTTGATAAAAAAATTGAGAAGCTTGATGAGGAACTTAAAAAGTATCAACAGCAAATGCTGAAGATGCGCGAGGGTCCAGCAAAAAACAATATAAAAATGAAGGCACTGAGGATCCTTAAACAAAAGAAGGTGTATGAACATCAAAAGGAACAACTTTCCAACCAAAGCTTCAATATTGAGCAGACCCACTTTGCTATACAAACCGTACGTGACACAAAAACGACTGTAGATGCTATGAAAGTAGGTGCTAAGGAGTTGAAAAAAGAGATGAAGCGTATTGACTTGAATAATGTTGAGGTAAATGCTATATCCTTCGCAGTTTCATGCATATACACATATTATTCCTAGTTTATGTTGCTTAATTTTTTTCTTTACCATGCGTGTATATAATGAGTGGTATCAATAAAAGGAGCTTCAAGTTGTCACAACAACTTATACACTGAGGAAAGGCAGCACAGAATATTACTTAGTTCGGAAAATCCTATCAGATCTTTCTAGTATATACCAAAGAGAAAAATACTTCAGTCCAGATTTTCTCATTATTATTACATTATCATCAGTATGGCTATGCATTATAGTTTGTTATACCCCTAGTAAGTTGAAGCAAGATTATATTCCTCGATACTTCATAAGAAAGGCGTCTAGTAGAGCCTACTTTTGCCTCACGGACTTCAGTTGTTCACACAGTGACAAAAATCATCGTGAACATCGCTGTATATCCTCGTGTTTGTACACGCTGCCCCTAATCACCAAATCATTGAAAGCGCAGAGGTCTGCGAATAATTCTCCGTTCTCACTCATTTTTCCGAGAGAGGGCCTCTCGACCCAGGATGAGTTCTCTTCCTGAATTTATCTGCCCTCAGTTTGGCATTCATATCACCCCTGAGGATTTTGATACCACCATTTCGGATGTTGTCCACTAATGTTTGTAATTGCCTGTAAAATTCTTTCTTATTCTTTTGTTCCCCGTTACTTGTTGCATTGTGCGTAGCATTGGATAATCGTAACCTTCCTTCCTTTGGATTTGAATCTTGCTATCATGATCCTGGAGGAGGAGGAGATTGGTTTCCACTTCATGAGGCTTTGGCTGCTGATAGTGACATCATGATAGCCACTCACTGCTTCAGTGTGCCCCTGGTTGTCGTCTGGGTGACGAGACCGGAGTAGATTACTGACTCACCAGTTGGCAATTTGGATAATCCACATGCGTTCCATCTGCTTTCGCGGATACCCAGAAATTTTATGCAATATCTTCGCATTTTCACGGCTACCTGGGCAGCCTTCCCATCCTAGTACATTGTACGGACATTCCACATCCTTATTAATATTTTTGCGTTGATCGGTTGGCTTACTGGATTCCCGAAGGCTTTTACCAGCCCGCTGTGTCATTTGGCCTATCCGATTCCAGTGAAGAATAAGGCAGTCCTTTGAATTTTTTGTAATTTCAATAATATTTTTGTGCGTTGAAGTTTCTATAGCAGTTTGATAGGTTTTGTGGTGTAGTGTCACTAGCCTCACACCCAACCCTTCTTCCTCACTCGGACTTGGGTCCGGCTAGTAAACTAGACGAAGTTGTTGAGAATATACGGTTAGAGAATGTCAAGGATATGCGTCGAAGTCGCTCGCTTTCGCGCAGATGTATTCACTCCTTTTCGTCTTTCCATATTCTTTAAATGTTGGCTAATGTTCACGCTCTTTGATATCCTTTAGCGTTGTGACTTCACTACGTTTCTTTTTTATGCTTGTATGCATGCTTTCACGAAGTGCATCAAATTCAACTGATACTTTGTACCATTTTCTACATCTCTAAGTAACAGACCATATCAGTAAAGAATACTTTCGGAATTCACATTATCTAAATAAAATAACTTGTTGTTTACATCTGGTTTTCTAGTACTTTATTTCGTAGTCTATAACTGAGTATATTATTTTTCTAACAAATATTCTGTATTGATATAGTAATCTACATAGAGACGGATTTAGCTCTTTTATCAGACATTCTTTGATTAACTTTCTGATTGTATGTTAACATTTAGTGCTTGTGTAGGCATTCAATTTTCTTTTGAGGTTAACGTATTCTAAGTAATCATTTCGTAGTGAGATAATTTAGTATTTCTTTAAATCTCGACTTATTTTTCTAACAGGATCTCCAGGATGACTTAGCTGACTTGCTTAATTCAACTGACGAGCTACAAGACATTCTCGGTCAAACCTACACAACACCAGATGTTGACGAAGCTGATCTGGAACAAGAATTAATGGGTCTGTGTGACGAGCTAGGCAGTGATACAACCTATTTGAGTGAAGAATTTAACGCACCATCTGTCCCGACAGGAATCCCTGGGGAAAGTGTACCCACTCCAGCTACAGGCAGTTCGAAAATAGCCTCAGTAAGTTAACCTACTGAAATTTACAATCATGATTTTCTTTTATCATGCATTCGTCTATGACAATAAATTTACTAATTCGCATTTAAAATTTGATATTTTCATTCGGACTCTACAAAAGAGGTTCAATTTACTCTTTTACATGTTTCAAGGTTACTTCAGTTGTAATACTTATGTACTATATATGATTATGAGTCAGTTTAACTGCATACTAAGAGGTGTTCCTTCATTTATCATCGGAAAACGATTTTGTACACACCATCCATTATCTTGAATAACTCATTGGTAAAAGGACGGGAGTAATAACGATGACGAGTTCTCTGTAGATCATGTTGAATTTATTTTTTTCATATTCGTTCTAATTCATGACAGGTGTCTTTAATAGCGAATTCTATGCGTAGGTGTAATCATGTAGTAAAATTATGAGTCACTTTATGATTTTGACATGTGTGAACTTGTATTCATGTAATAAAATAGTCAGTTTTGATGACAGTCGATTGGAAACACTCAGCGGCATATCCTAGTTACTCTCCGGTTATAGGTCGTCACAGGCAATCCAAAAACAATTTTGCAGCTTGCTTTAAGTTCTGTTTATATCTTTAAGAGGAGGTAAAGTTGCGAATGCTGAAGTTGACACAACATCTGATAACATAACCCACATTTATGGTTACATGATAAACAGTTTTTCTCCAGTTATCATTCAGGCTAAAAGTAAATGTACGATTTCCTCTGAAAATAGCTTAATTTGTACTTTTTTCTCCACATATAAAATTAATAGGCGTGTTAATGTGGGTAGAGGAAAATGATGCTCAGGAAGGCTTCGTGTGCTTTTGGAAGCGTGTGGGCAGTTGTAACTTCCCGACTGCCCACACCGTGGAAGTTGGTTGATTCTTCGGTTACCTGAAACAGAGAGAGAGAGAGAGAGAGAGTTAGTGTTGATAGGGATTACACTGGTCAAATACGAAAAATTTTCATGATATACATAAATCAGTTTGATAAATTGATCAACATTAATCGATGTCAAACCTCTTTCTAAACCGTGGTTGAATCAGCTTCGTTATGTGGTTACTTGTGTAAATAAGTAGGTGTCACTCACTAGTATATTCCACAGACTTCCAAGTAGAAATTCGCATTTTCAAACTCTGACTCTCTGGGGGAAGTTTTGGGCAGTCAAGTGGTACTGTTGGCTACTACGTAAAACATGAAGCTTGTAGCATTCTACTTAAAAGTGTACCTCGCTGTTGAGTTCCTCTTATTCTAAATAATTCAATGTTATGTTCGATGTTAAATGCTTAAATGTAATGAGTAGAAAAGTTGTTTCAATTGACAAAGTAGCCATTGTGATATCTTTAAAGTTTTTAGGGTATGTATTCTTTCCAAGCACCAACACCGCTCACTAGATCATCTCGAAGCCTATATATATAACAACTGGTATTATCATTATTATTGTTATTATTATTGATTTCATATGACTTCACTAATGCTTGCTAATTTTTGTAGAATGTCACACTGGATGAATTTGGTTTACCACAAATTTCTTGAATCAATCAATGGCTTTTCTCCGTCGGCAGTCCAATATACTTACATTTAGTTTAATCAGAAAATACGGTTTTCTCTATTAACGTATCATATTCACCTTGTTTGCTTTTGATATTTGTTCACGAAATGAAAATCTTTCTCCATATATATATATATACGCCTTGTTCATAATTTCTATCTCTTTATGAAAATAAACTTGTTCAACTTCAAATGTAATTTTTTAAAAAGGAGTTTAAATAAGGTAGTCACCATTTTGAGGCTTAAATGCAGTCTGATAGGAAGCTAAAACATGAGCTTGACGTGCCTTAGTTACGTTCCATGTAATCCTTTGTAGAAAAAAATCTAGTCAAATAATAAATTCATCATAATGCATGCATATAGTGAACATAAGCCAATTTACAATCATCCAAATGTCAATAAAAACAATACAAATATATAGTGACACTTTGATTATATACATTTATTCAGTAAAGAGCCCACTTAAAGTAATCTAATGGATAGTGACTAGCAGTGAATTTCTAGATGCATTCCTTGTCCCATTTGAGACTAGTCAGGTGGATTCACTTGCATTTCCAGTGAGTGAAGGTATCCCCACTGAGACTCAGCCTCCGTTGAACATTTCGGTCCAATCAGTCAACACGAAAATCAAATTGAACTGAAAAAGAAGCGACTGGCTACTTAATTTGATGAAATTACTTAATGCACTTTCTTGCCATGTTGCACATACATCCGTTTATCGTTAAAGTCAGATGAAATTCGAATGTTACTTGAATTCTAAGCAGTTAAACTATTCGAACAAAAGGGGAATCTGTAGATAGTACCGCCGACTTAATAGTTAGAACTTGGAAAGACACTTAATAATGTTTAAAAAAATAATTATTCCCACTGATAAATTTGGATGGGATAATTGAAAGACAAAATTTATCAGAAAAATATTACGTATTTGCGAGCTAAATTTCGAAATTTGGTCACACCTACTTGTCTACTCAATTTATGGGGGAATTAAAAAAAGGAAGGCCAATTAAAATGAGGATTTAATAGTAAGAAGGGTAATAATTGTAATTACTTACTTTTGGTATCGTAATCAAATAGGGAATAACAATTTAAACTAAGTGAAAGAAGAAACGTTTTCTTCACTCACTAGAGAGAAACTTAATTTTGTGAACAGCTGTCACCTCAGTTTATTTATTTTTACTGCGAAGAATAGTTCAGAACTTACTAATATAATCATAACGATTTTAAATAGCTGTTCGTGATCTTTTTTTTGGGTGGACAATTATACCTTTGCTATTTACTGGTTGACTCTACTAAGTTTTCTTTCGTTATTATTTGTTATTCTACGTGTCGGCGGCAGTGATGAAGTGTCGCGGACTTGAATTTTTCTAGATCCTCATTAGATGTTGCGAATAATCCCCGTGTTTGTATGATAACTCCCGGAATTTCCCTTTATATATAATCCATTAACTTTGAACGAAATGGTATAGAATTCAAAATCAACAGACAGAATTTACATCTGGAAATCAGACAGATAGTATACTAAAGTAATTAAAGACGTATCTCTCAGGTGGATTAGAGAAATTTTTATGTGATTCAATTGTTTCGCAGATTATTCGTATCTTAACTCTTACATCTCCGGATAGCTTCTCTATCATATAGAACGCAGAGTTCTTTCTTAATTAGTTCATATGAGAAATACAAGCGGCGGGAAATATTCTGAAGAACATGTTTGGACGGTGTGTTAGAGTTTATTACTTAGGATAAATATGACTGCCATAATATTTTCCAATAGAATTTAGGATATTTCCAGTCCTACTAAGAGTATCAGTTTTTGGGTTCGCTTCTGCAATCCCGACACAATAGAGAAGAAACTCATTTTCAGGTGGTCCTTGCAGCTTTTCACACGATGAGATATACCCATTTATTAACGGATTAGAAAAAACAAAGATTTGATCATCTGTCCTGATATGACTTTGATTTACTTTTACTATCTATTGTATCTCAACACCCATCGATGTAATACTGCAGTGCATGAACAAGAAGTTCTTGAAAACAACTGTCCTCTGCAATTATTCTTATTCCGAAAAGTACTTCTTTTGTAAATGCCTATTTTTGTATGTACACTAAAAGGTTAATGAAACCAGGAATGTTATATTTAATGCAAGCCTAGCAACCTAGAAAATTAAACAGCATGAGCCATTCATACTGGTTAAGTTTATTTGTTATTACACATTTATACAGTAGTAATAACTGCATGAAGTTTCGAGCATAGTTTACTGCTTCTGTCCGTCTGTCTGTTTTCGACATATAACTTTGCACCGATGTGCGGCAGTTCAAGTTGCCGCACTCCATGTAACACACAAAGCAACACAAGAAAGTAGAAGAAATGCATAATAAAGACAGTAAACAGAGGTGTGAGATAAAGGAATAGTAGTAACGAAGAACAATAGAGTTTCATTGGAAATCATAAGTCATAAGGAGTGGATGCACCTGCTCCATTGAGAACGATTCTGAGCCATATCGCCAATTATTTCCAACCATTGGTTTTTACCGTCCCGAGGACCCCAACCAAGAAGTCTACATCTTGCTACGTGGCTGGTTTATAAAAACTGTTGTGGATTTCATTGACTGTTGCCAAGTTTTGGTTTGATCACCACTAGGTGGCTCTCTTCCAGCCTGACCCTATATCAGCTAACATTGTCCATCGAGGAAGGCGATGGCTAGGCTGGGCATACGTAACACATATTCTAACCATCTCAGTCGATGTAATTTCACAGCCTCGTTGATTGATTTCCCCTCCTTACCTAGCACTCGACGCCTAATTACAATGCTGCTCACCTTATTATGCCACTTTACATGGGAAATAGAACGCAGGCACCTATGATCAAAGACAGCTAGTCTTTTCATGTCTTCCACTCTCAGTGGCCAGGTCTCACAACCATAAAGGAGGACGGAGCGGACTGATGAGCAGTATACCCGCCCTGTATCTCTAATTTACTTCTTAGAGATACATTAATGTATTCGGACGACTTACTAACTTGCTTCACGTAGTTTTACTTGTTAATTCTGTTGTTACGTGTATCACTTGTTGATTCGATGAACAAAAATTCAGGGAGTAAACTTCTTTCACCACCCAGATACATTATTACCTTTTAGTACTTGTATTTTGTTCAACCGTATCGTCTAACTGAATATAAGCGTGATCTGTCATTCTTGGTATAGCCAGATTCCTAGGTTCTGACATTTTGGCTGACGTTGATCTACTAGTATGATGTATGTATTTGAGGTCACAGTTATTACACGGTATTTAGTACTTAAAATTAATTGTCCAACTGTTTCGATGGGATCTTCAGACTAACAAAGTTTGTTTCTGATTGGATTGGTATTTTTATATGTTACCGTGATTCCAGACATACTAATAGATATTTCATTGCATATATGCCAGTAATATGGATGTTCTGCATTTATTACTAGAAATATTATCATCACCATTCACATAGCTGTTAATTCAACAAACAAAATATCATGTAATGACTGTCTGTTGAAATACGTACTTCACACTAGCAGATCAAATTCAGTCAGTATATCACAACGTAGGAATTTAGCTACACCACGAATGGTAGACCATGCCAAATCGGTTAGTCTAGAAAAATTCAGGTTTGTTGGTTAGTAGATTTAGCTTAAACGGACAGTAATAAGCAATAAGGCGCATTTCAATTGAGTTTTCTAATATATCTACTATTTACGATGAACGTAAATGTGTAGGGGACTTTATAACGAGCTTGGTAACAGAAAAAATACTTGGATAAAAATCCAAGTTAATGAAACGATAGTGTAACAGTATATTATAAAAAACACAGTTAACGAGTTAGAGAAATTAATGGTTACTTGGTTACACAGTTAAAGTCCACTGCTACAAATTACTAATATAGTCCACAATAGTGTTCACTGCTGGAAGCTGCGCACCGGTTGTAGAATAGTCTTCGGGTGAGGATGAAAGGTTCCTGCAAAAATCCAAAGGATACGACACGGTTAGTAGTGAAGCAAGCGTACAGTATAGACTAGTGAGAAGACAAAGCAGCGAGCAGCACACTGTACCTTAGATTTCACTCCGAAGTTGTGTATATTTTACTATGAATTGTTTCAAACAAAAGGTGTGTACAATGTTTCCATCTCAGGCATCTAACAAAAAACTGTACAATCGTATTGATACAGACTCCACAAATGTTTTTATCCCTTCTGTCTTTAAAATTATAACTTCAGAAGTTCATATACCAGTTTTCTAATATGCAACTGAACGTGTTTTATTCTCACCATGTGTCCGCAAAATGGAACACAAATGTAGACCAAATTTGTTTTCATAATTTATCTCTGGTAATTCACTCGTCTTAATGTCTAATAAGCTGAAAACTGTCATTTCCGATATCGCGAGGAGGTACATAATGAAGAATAATTTCATTTACCATCAAGTGCATTGTGTAAATATTTGAATGAATTGGTATAAAACGTGTCAGTAAATAAACATGGATTAACGCTTTGCTCTTTCCTCTTAAGATTTCATTGTGAAGTGTTAGTTCGGATAAATCGAGTAAAACACAAGCAGTTTTTGGTGATAAAATATATACATGTTTCATACATTTAGTTCCCTTGATAAATTTCGATAGAGAAAGAAAGACCAAATTTGTAGTATGAAATGATATCAATCTATTTCACAGGTTCTTATCAGCTACAAACTACCTGAAATTACAATGGTTATAAATAATGATATTCCATACTTCAATGTTTGAAAGATAACAGAGAAAACATTATAAGATGAACGCATCCGGATTATAAGCACTACAATTTTCAGTTTAAGTCATCATCAATTTTCATGCTATCAAACTATGAAAATAAAGGTTGGGGGTGGGGAAGTGAGAGAAGACAGAAAAATCTATTAAACAGTGTTAACTTGTACGTCTACTTGGCAACTCAAGAAGGTTAAAGTTCATCAAATTGAGAACTTGCTC